TCTGCTATCATTAATAACTTACTTAATACCTTTTGTAGTAGATTGGGCTTTTGTACTTTTATTCTAATAATATGAATACTGTGTAGGTTTGATGTTGACTGTTTATTCGGTTCGTGGTGGTTGGGCATCCAATGCTTCGCTTACCTTATTAAATTTCAATGTACGTCACGAACCCGATTATTTTACAGGTTTTGTATGGATTACTAAAGATTATATTTCTGAGGAGTAAGCATAGTTTATTAATTTATTAAAGTTCCTTAAAATTATAGTTTACAATTACTAGTATTAGATTACATTTTACATCGTCATATAAATCATCTTTTAAATTTTAATAAAAATAGCTTTTTTTGTAAACGTCGGCTAATAATTTTATTCATTCACTCTTTCTTTTAATATTCTTTCTTGAGGTTAAATAATTGGTATACTATTATCTATTTATGGATCTATTATATTTTTGTGTTGTTGCTTTCTTTGTATACTTCATCCAGTTTTGACCATTTTTCATTTTGGTTGAAGCTGTTCATTTTGAAATATTGGTTAAAATCTAACGATTTACGAACAATAACTCTACACTTTTTTGTTGGTTTAAAACAGCACGCCAGTAAAATAATAGTTCAGCAGAGGTTGAAGTTGTTAGTTCATCTGATTAAAATGAAAATTGATAAGAGAATTATAGATGAGTGATTACATATTATACTTCCGTCCTAGGGCTTTTCTTATTCTCAGAGTTCCCTATACTATATATCGTTTATCCTGATAAAGTAAATTTATGGTCTTTGCTCTGCATTATTTAATTTGGACTCACACAGTTGGGCAGAGAGGTATTTTTTTTTTTTTTTTTTTTTTTTTTTGTATAAAACTAATGAATAGTTGAATACTGAATTGTTAGTTTGTAAGCAATATTATTTGATTTATTAATTTCAATCTCCATATATAAAAGTTTTTCTGGTTTTTCACGTTGGCATAAACATGATAGAGTATATTCGTAGAATCCCAACTTTTAAATGTAAAATGAATGGTTGAGATATTTTACAAATATTAAATTTAAAAAACTCAAATAAAATTATTTATATGTAAAATGTAAAATTAAAATTTTTTAGAATTGAATTATATAAAACTATTTTCTTCCTAAATCAAACTTAATTGAAATTGATGAAAATTAGAAACCAACCCTAAAATTAGCACGACTTAAATTTAACTAAAATGGACAATAAAGTAAATAAATTTAATATTTAGTATATAATATATAATATATGGAGAATCTAAATTTATTCGCAAATCAAAAGAATTTCATACTTATGTAAGCGAGTTGAATCCTAAGTTTGGCTTGATAAAGATATAAGTTCAAGCCTCTGAGTATTTTGCTTTATATACAGCTTTTTTTTTTTTTTGAAGAGATTATATACAGCTTTATTATTACCATGTATTAGTGATTGTCAAATAAAATGAAATTTATAACAAAAGATTGCCAGATGAAGCTCATATAACAATGTTTCTAGCATCTGCCAAAATAAATTCAACAGGAAAAAAGGACAAAATATGCGACGGTTTGCCCCCTACTAGGCCGACAAATTCATTTGAAAAGCTACATCATACCATTTGATGTTAAAACGAAAATGAAAAATTCACTTCTAAGAGTTCAACTCTGTCTTGTCTCTCTATCTCAAAAAAAAAAAAAAAAAAAAAAAAAAAAAAAAAAAAAAAAAAAAAAATTCATTGTTATGACTCATTTGTAACCAAAGCACTGTCTTTCTTTGCTGCTATTACCTAACTCGTACATATTAAAAAAAAAAAAAAAAAAAAAAAAAAAAAAAAAATTCTATTTAGACCATTTGTAACCAAAGCACTGTCTTTCTTTGCTGCTAATCATAACTCGGTACAATATTTTGTTTGAAAGGAAAATCTATGCTATTAAGCCAGTTTATAATTATGAATTTATGATTATGATAATCCTTTCGGAGAAGTTTGGACAGCCAAGAATATTAACTACAAATGAATTTCATATTCTTTTTTTTTTAATTATTATATGTTCAAATATTTTAAAAAATAAAAGCAAATAAATTTTCAATTCTAAAATTACAAAATATCAAACATTAAAAATAAAAAATTCATTTACAAATGAATTCTTCCTCAAATGTTTTAAAGAAATTTATACCAAAGAGTGTTAGATTCATAAAATTCCAGCACCTTCCATGAACTAATTCCTCTTCACGTTAACTTAACATATCAACCCAGGTTTTGAGCCAAGCATCCCAAGCAGACAAAACCAGAAGCAGTCATCCATGTCCTAACACTGAGTCATGCAACATTTTTATTACTGAAGTAACATCCTCGTAACACAACAATTACTCTAAATCATACTGTGAGAATCAGAAGAAACTACAGAGCCTCTAGCAAAAACAACCAAAACAACAATTGATGTCCAGTTGGCAAAAACCGCAAGACAGCTTCATCAGGAAACTCAAGTTATGAATATCTATCAAAGGTGAAAGCTAGTCCTGACAAATATCATATTATCCCTCTACTACATCCACTTTTCACCTCTGGCCAGAATCAGGAGAACCATCATCATATGACACCAGGCCCCTCTTCCCACCAGGACTTCCCGATGACGACCTTGATCTTGCTCGTTTGGGAGATGGAGAGTCCAATGAGGACCGTGATACTGATGGACTCCGGCTTCGAGAAGGAGACCTCCGCCTCTCAACACGTGGAGAGGCACGAGACCTAGGTGCACCAACAGGGGAGCGGCTGCGACTGGGAGTATAGCGACGGTTACGGGAGCGAGGACTTCGCGAAACAGATGGACTCCTTGTTCTGCTTCTCCTGCCCCTATATCTGTGATAAGTATAAGGAGAAGAAATTAAGTTGGCATGACCTAAACAAGGTACAAGGATTAAAGCACTTCCAGTGCATAGCACATTTAAAAAAGAAAGAGAGAAAAGAAGTCCCTAAGCCATCTTTGTAAAGACAGCATTTCTAATGTCATCACATTGCAATGTATTATTATTATTATTATTATTATTATTATTATTATTAGTGTACATCACAGACCTGGGAGTAGTTCTTCCTCGTGGCGGACTCCTGTACCGCCTTGGTGAATACCTCCTGTAACTTGAATATCTAGAAACACAATAATAAGTTAATGAACAAAGACAATTGCCATTGGTCAATTTCTAATAGAAAATGAACAAAAGATGTCGATCCTAAGCGCCATCAATCGAGAAATAAACACAAGGTACTTGAATTGACAAAAATTGGCTCACTAGACACCTGTCACGGTCACTTCTGCTGCCATATCGGTATGATCTAACAGGAGAACGATCTGGAGAGGGGGTTCTGTATCGCCGAGCATACGAGTACCGTTGACTGAAACCACGACCTCTTCTGATACGCTTAGGAGATCCATCAGGAGAAACACTTCTTGACAAACTTCTTCGATCAGAAGGTGGAGATCGCACCCTGACAGGGCTATTGCTCCTTGAATAGCTACGACGATTGTTCCTGCTTGGAGCCCTGGCAGGACTTCTACTAGCGCTTCTCCTTGAAGGAACCCTACCTGAGCTTCTACTAATGCTTCTCCGAGAGGATCTAACTGGGCTTCTGCTAGTGCTTCTTCGATAAGATCTGACAGGGCTTCTGCTAAATCCTCTGCGAAAAGATCTAACTGGGCTTCTGCTAACTGATTTTCGTGACAAAGCTCTAGGTGGACTCCTGCTCTTGCTTCTTTGAGGTGGGGATCTTATGGGGCTCCTGATTCTGCTTCTTGGAGAACGAGATCGCCCAGGGCTCTTGCTAATGCTTCTAGCCTTTTTGCCTCTAATTGGACTCCTGCTGACACTTCGAGCTGGACTCCTGCTGCTACCACTTCTAGCAGGACTTTTGCTGAAACTCCTCCTTCGTGAGACACGTGGAGGACTCCTACTAGCACTGTGACTCCTGCTCATGCTTCTCTTCAAACCAACACTTGGACTCTTGCTCATAGCCCTCCTGGGACTAATACTCATACTCTTACTCATGGTCCTCTTGGGACTAATGCTTCGGCTCCTGCTCATTAACTTTTAATAAAATACCGGATCTGGATGAATCGGTAAGCATAAAGAATAACTGAGGAGTGACAAGAATGGAAAGTAGACCTAGATTTGCCTGGGTGATCATCTACAACATCAGGTTGTCTATCTTCACTTCTGTCAGAAGTAGCATCTGCTCCAATACCATTGCTCCGTCGCCCTCCATTTTCTTTAGGGGATCTTCCATCTTCCTTTCCAAGCACATCAGGTTCCTCCCTTGTTTTATGGGGAAGAGAACCAGCTTCTTCCTCCAAAACCATAGGTGACTGATCCTCAGCTGCAGAACATTACACAAAACGAATGGTAAAACATATTGTTTAACATGAAAAATAACAATCTCAAGTGTCAAACAAGAGTCCAAGTTATAAATAACACCAATAACAAATGGAATCTGTGAGGAATATAAATTCAATACACATCCAAATTTGAGCATTTAAGGTTGTAGGATCAACTGGTAAATAGTAAATTTGCAATGATGTACTTTTAGCAACAAGGAGGAAAGAAAGGAGGTATAGGTTTTGAAGAGAAGAAAAGTGGACTTAATTGTTTCATTTGTTAGGATGACATAGAAATGGGAAGCAAAGAATTATTTTTTCAAAACTCCTACTCTTTTAAAAACACAAGAAAAGCAATGACAGATAAAATTTCTTCAACCATTACCAGTTTTCATGGCAGGGTCTTTACGCCTTCGACCTTTTGCATGAACATCCAAACCATCATCATCAGAGCTGCTTTCGCTCTCACTGTCATCGTCAGTAAGACTATCAGATGCCCTAAAAATAAGAAGTACAATATTAATGTCATAGCATACACAAAAGACTATGTCATCAAACACAGACCATTGTACTATAGAACCACTTAGAAAAAGTAATAACTAAGCAACTCCAGCAACTAAAAACAGACTAACTAGTTAGTCATTCACCTTGTGAGAAATAGATTCCATCAACATTGCAATACAATATACGCAAGGAGAGGAGAGGGATTTGCAGGGAACGATGTATGATTGGAACTAATACAAATTAATTAAAATTTAAATGCCAAGGCATTGCACATCCTCCAATTTACATTCTCTATCGATCACTTACCAATCTTTATTTCTTATTAAAAAAATGATAAGCATCATTTTTTTCCTTCACAAGTTCAGTTGAATGGAAGAAAAATAATCAAGGTTCAATGAACAGACAATAAAGCTGAATGCATGAAAAAGTACTGTCTCAAAGTACAGGCTAAGTTAAGACCACACAATTTCTGCCAAAATATCAATATCCTGCGATTATTCATCTTACGCCTATAATAGCAGGTTAGCACTTATCAAAAACACATATACTAACATCGAGGATAACTGAAAACTGAAGACAAAAAGACTATAAAGTAAGATCATGACAGTCATGGAAACTACCTTCTTGATCTGCGTTTGGATCTTCTATCTCGCCTCTTTCGCCTTTTCTCGCGCCGCTTATCTCTTCTTTTTCCACGTCTATACTTGTCTCTTTTAGAAGACCTCTTTCTTTTCTTACGCCTATCATCACTTGAAGAACTCACGTCAGATGAGGAGGACATAGAGGAGTCAGACTCACTATCAGACTCGGATGATTCTGTCTCAGAATCAGATGAAGTTTCCGACTCAGATAAATGGTATCTTCTTCTCCTCTTCTTTCTGTCTCTTGCAGATTTCTTATGCTTTCCCTTCTTCCGCGCTTCATAACTGTCTGAATCAGACAATGCATCCTTTCCTGTTTTCAGTTTATGTACTTTTTTCTTGTCTGCACCTTAAGATAATAAAATCAACAATTCAACATAGAAGTATAGAATAATACCTACCATGTAAACTTAAAGTTAAAGAAAATTTTAATGGGAGAGAGAGAGAGAGAGAGAGAGAGAGAGAAACTGTGCATTTACTTGTGTAAATAAAGAAAACTCAATGAAAGGAAAAGACAAAAAGGGCCCCAGGATTCTTACCCTCCTTAAATTCACCACTATTAATTATTTTCACTGTCACCATTGGTCTCCCTTCCTCGTCGCCTGCACTTTCAATTTTTTTCAGCACTTCATCTCCTTGCACAAGCTTGCCAAAGACCACATACTTCCTATCATATGATGCCACATAAACAAAGGGCACAGGTCATCATTTCAGACACATAAACATACTCAATCTGTGAATTTTACTGGAATTATATCAGATACAAAATGGACCATCAACATGAATCCTCAAACGGTTGAAATTCAAGAATTGGAGAACCAACCTGTCAAGATGGTGATTAGCCTTAAAGGTGATAATAAATTGGGAACCTAGGGTCTCGCGATCAGCAATAGGCATTGAAAGAAGACCAGGGCTGTCATGCTTAAGCCTTGAAGTCTCATCTGAAATGGAGTCACAACCACCACTTATCACTTTAATAAATTGGGGAAGAAATTAATTTGTCTCACAATTAGTAACCCAAAGTACAATTTCCAATGCTTCACAGATGCAGACATGCCAACATTGACAGATAACAAGCTCGCAGGTTGTACAATTTCCCAAAATGACTATTGTAAAGGATTTCAACAGAGCAGAAGTATGCTTCCACATTCCAAAAGCATAATAAAAATAGTCAGGGGACAGTTGAAGATAAACGAAAAATCCACGGTTATAAATGCATGTGATATACAATTTACATCCACTTCCTTTAACACTCTATAATCACAACACAGCAGCTTAAGGAATCAAATAAACAAGAAGATTAAAGCTATCTCACCAGGAAACTTGTCCCCATATATGCTCTCTCCACCGGTCCCTGCAAAATGAACAGGGAAGACAAGCAATTAAGTTCAAAATATAAAAGGGTAAGAAAAAAATTTCCTGACAGTTTCATCACAAAAAAAATTTATATTATATCTTTTCCTGGGTAACTCATCACATTAGCCAAAATTTTAAACTCAAGAATCATAAGCAAACAAAAATTTTAGTCAATTCTATTATATTTTACATCATATTCTTGCCCAAAAGGACTTATTGTCCAATAACTAGTAATTACTTGAAATCAAGATTTTAAATGTTCAAATGACTGCAGATTTATGATTTCAAGAAACAATAAATCATGGGCACGAAAAATCCCAAATCATTTTCAAAAAGTGAGCCTCGTAATTTTAAACTTCAGACATCAAGCACCATAGAGGATGAGTCAAATGGAATCGTTCAAAAATGATATTGACCACACAAAATGATAGTCCAGAATACATACCATCTCGTTTAACAAAATCACCACCCTGCAAAACGAGCTCAAACTATTAGTTTACTGATAAACAGAACCATAAATGTGATGGAAATTCGGTTGGACACTATGAAGCATAGTAAATTTGGAGGATGGACAACTTAGTAAGTACAACCTTAAAACTACATCACAAGAAAAGCAGTCGTGACCATCAGCCCTGTGTCCTACAGCATAAACAAGGGTAACTGACTAAAAGACAGACCACTTCTAAGCCATGTTCAGCAAGAAAACTAAGCACAGAAGCAAATGTAGAACAAGCCTGTTTATTTCAGAAACATCTAAATGTACATAAGAAATAACAACAAACCTGAGCCATGGAACCTCTAATGATGCAATGGAAAAAGGAACCCTTATAATGCAATGGTCTTCCAGTTTTAGGACCAATCCCCTTCTCCCCTGAAGATGATTGAAAAGATCACAAAAATATTACTTCCAGTTCAATATTCACCTCTACTATAAACAACTCAAATATATGTAGCTGACTTTTTTGCATCAGCAGAGAGTGTTGCATCAAAAAAGCCATCTATCATTTTATCAACCAGCATCAGAGATTACTTAGAAGAAAGAAGACCTATTAAAAAGAAAGAAGTTAACAGAAAACCTGCTTACCAGTACAAAGGGCACGGAAGTTTTCTGCCGTTTTTGGAGCAATATCATAGAAAAGCTGCAGAATTTACCAATAAATTAATGTAAATTGCACTTGATAGCATAACTAATTAAAAAGAACCTTCAGATGCAAGAATAAAACACAATCTCATTATATCTCCTTCACTACCTTAATCTAGTTTAAGTAATGTTACCTCAAAAACCATCCTTTCAAAAGGATCCCCATCAATAGACACATCAATAAATACCAACGGGTTCTTCTTCTTTGCCATCTTCTCTAGGCCCAATAACAGCTCAAGCCAGAATAATCAATAACCTGATGAGCAGCTAATACATTGTGTTTGTGATTAACAAAACCAATTTATATTAGTAGGAAAAAATATTCAAACAGAATCAAGAAGGCCTAGGAACAATAATGTAAATTTACTTAAAATTTAACCCATTGATGTTATAAAGGTAGTCACCTATCTGCAGATTAGGCAAGCTTCATAATGCTGCTTAATACATGCATACATACATACATACATATATATATATATATATATAAGCCTCACGCCAACACAAACTCTACCAATTATACATGCAAATACGGTGCCAATATAAAATGAACACTTCAAAATGAGTAAGCAAACAAGACTCAGGGCTGAAGCAGCAATTCATAAAAGCCAACAAGAATAAAATAAACCAAACGAAAAAATAGAGTTGAGCTTCCATCAAGCATTACAAGGTAACATGCAAGTAGATCATCACACGACATGGCACTGCAAAATATCGGCTAATCATGGTGGTTACCAAGAATCCAATAGTTAAAACAGCTTCATTCCGTACTCCCAAAGCGTGAGTAAACTGCTACGCAAATGCCAAAACCCTAGATAAGGAAAACTAACAAAAATTAACAACGCAAATACTCATAAACAAGTTACGCAAAAACCTTAAACCCTAGCTAGATTGCTGCAAACCGTCGAGTGTAAATCAAATTGAACTTAAAAACTACACAATCGGATCGATTATTAAAAACTTAATAAGCTCATATAATACGGATTCAAAACAATAAAAAAAAAAAAAAAGAAAAATAACTAAACAAAAATTTTAGCAGATTCATTACATCCGGACTGCACGTTCTGGATCAGAAACAAGAAGAAAATAAATAAGAGAAATTGCGAATAGAAATAGGACAGGAGGGAGAGAGGCAGTGAGAAACCCTAGAGTTCACCTGTGAGAGACGCTGAGCCACAGAAACTAACTCGATATAAGATGAAAAAATGAGCCAGGTGAATAAAAACCTAGGTCTCTAATAAGAGAGGCATTAAGCCTTAGCTCTTTCTACAGATGTGGTAAATTCCAGGGTTGCCCCTCAGCTTAAAGCTGGTCTGGTCTGTTTGAATTGCACTTTGCTCGTGCTGAAATTACATACGTGCCCCCTGTCAAAGACAGGGAGGGACGCTTTCGCTTGGGCGTTGGCTGCGAGTGGCCGATTGCGGATGCAAGGCGCAAGAGCTTTTCTGGTTTTACGGATGTAATGAAATATATTTGGGTTGTGTCATTTAAGGGCAAGAACGGTTTAAAAAATTGCACTTTCCTAGCGCTTTGGTCATAATAAATCAATTATCTTTTTATGTTTGAAAAATAGTCATTAATAATTAAAATAATTATACAGTGAAACAACAAATTATCGCCATGAGTTTGAATGACAATCCTATAAAAATAAAATATGTATCAAAAAATGAAATATGTAGATTGAAATAAAAACATATTTGATATCTACATATTCCATATATTTATTTTATTTCTATCCTTATTTTTAGTTTTAATTTTAATTTATAAGTGTATTATTTTAATTGTATTGTCATTTTTCAGTCTACAATATGTCACCATTTTAGTACTATGTAACTGATTTTATTATTTAAAAGCTCTTAAAATGAAATTAAGGGTCATAACTCTATTTAAGAGAAGAACAACCATGACAATCACGGTGATAACAAGGATTTAAGAATTAATAATTGTAATATTACCATCTTAATATAATCTACAGGGCAGATTATTTTCTTCTTTGTTAAAAGGAGGAAAGTGAACAAGCAACTGATCAGAATTCGGACAATGCACCAATAAAAACAAGGGAGTCACCAGCACAAAAGAAAAAAAACCTCAATGGCAGCAATTCATCTTTTAAAGAAATAGATAAACAGACACAAGATTCATGTCATCTCAACTTGACCAGCTTTCTTCCTTTTTCTCACTGGCAATTCAGTCTCAGGATTAGCTGAATTTGTATACCAAGAATTCTCATGTTTGTCTCCACTGCCCCAAATAGCATAAGCTTCTTCTCCATGAACAGCTTCATCACCAATTTCCATGTCCTCATCAGACATCCTCAGTGGCACGACAAGTTGGATTAAGAGACATATAATGCTGGTGACAATAACATTGATAAGAATGACAAAAATAATCCCCAAAAGCTGAATTCCTATTTGTCGAAATCCATTATGGACTTGTGGGATTTGAAAACCATAAAATAGGCCTACATATTTTCCATAGGTCGCATAGAACAAAGAACATAGTTTTGGTTCAGCAAAAAGGCCTGTGAGGATTCCTCCAAGACTTCCTGCAATGGCGTGAGTGTGTAAAACGGCCATTGTATCATCTACCTTTTGAAGAAGCTCAGACTTCTTGTGGACAACCATCATCGTAAACCAAGGAATTGAGCCTGAGCATATTCCCATTATTATTGCTGCCCATCCTTGCACAACCCCTGAAAAGAATTTTAATAATAATAGAAGCTTCAAAACCATTTTCTCTCTATCTTTAGTATCTCAAATGGTGTTTTTCTTTTGAAGAACAGTTTCAATCTCAATTTTAACAGATCAGATAGTCTTGTTCATGTACTTACCAGCCGCAGGAGTGATGCAGACTAAACCAGTGATCATGCCTTGAACAGCACCAATGACAGAAGCTTTTCCAAAAAACAGAATATCCAGGGCAAGCCAAGTAAGCAAGCTAGTGGCAGTACACACATGGGTGTTCAAGACGGCTAAGGAAGCATCAGCGCTTGCTGCATAAGGGTCTCCTCCATTAAATCCTGTCCAGCCCATCCAGAGTAGTCCTGCCCCAGCTAACATAAGAATGATATTGTTTGGCGGAAATCTTTCTCTGTCTTTGGTTAGGCGAGGGCCAACCTACAATCCATAGCAACATTTCATACAAAATTGACAGTTTACAGTGTTTAGCGATTTACATTATAAGGAAGATGCTATAGTTACCCAATAAGCAGCTGTAAAACCAGCAACTCCAGCAGACAAATGAATCACATAGCCACCAGAATAATCTATTATCCCATTCTTGGCGAGAAAACCTTGAGGACACCATATACTAAAAGCTACAAAAGTATATGAAAAGGTTAACCATAGAGGCACGAACATCATCCACGCATAAAAATTCATTCGCCCTAGCAAGGCACCGGCAATCAAGATCAAAGTAATGGCTGCAAAAACAGACTGGAAAAAAACCATAGTCGCAGAAGGAAACTTCCCAAGAAATGCTTGTTCGAGGAGAAATTTTTGGTCAAGAGCAACATTGGCCTTCCCCCAAAAAGGTACAAGTTCTTCTCCGAAAGACATCCTGTAGCCCCAAATAACCCAACAGAATAGCACACATGCAAAGGCATAAAAAACCATAAAAGCAGAGTTGACAGCCCATTTCTTCTTCACCCCTCCACCATATAAAATGAGAAGCCCTGGAATGCTCTGTAGACCAACCAGTGTTGCTGCTATTAGTTGCCATGCATTATCTCCTTTGCTCAACCAGTCGGGAGTAGCATCATCCAATGCTAACCCAGGAGGAAGATTAAGCCAGGAAGCTGGAGCTGGAGCTGGCACTGGCACACTCATTTTCAGCTCTTCTAGCTTTGTACTAATAGAATAATGAAATACTAAGCTAGATGGAGCAAGTGCATGCAATTCTGTTTATGGGTTTATATTTATGAGGATCATGCTCTGTTTTCAATCGATTCTGACGATAAGCTGTCACAATGTTGGTATCATTTTTGTCTTTATGTAAAGAAAAAAAAAAATCCTTTTGATCTTTATTGTAATTGTCTGATTCTCATTTGTTATTAAGCTCACATCTGTTCCTTCTACTTATTTTCCGTTTTTAATTGTTGGCGAGCAATCCAACCAAGTTCTAATGATAATTCCTAAGATTCCCATTTTGATTTGTCAATGACGATAATGCTAACATGTACTGTTTTACTTTGTTATGAACAACAGCAACCAACTAGTGGAAAATCTACTTCAACAATTTCTTTTTTTTACAAAAAATCACCCTGAATGGGCCCAAGCCCAATCGTTCGTTATTGTCCCATTCTAAAAGAGGCCCAACCCGTAGTAGAATTGACATTCCGGTACGGTCCTGCCCAGTGGGAAAAATGAAAGGTAAATATTACTGCAAATCTATGAAATGGGAAACAAGACGGTGCGTTTTTAGAAATGCCACTGGCTGCAGCCTGTCTTTCTCGAATCCACGGGCTCACGGCTCTGAAGCGAAAGCAGAGAAGATGTCAATGGAGGAGGGTTTTGACAAACACGAAAACGAACCATGGAGAGTCCTCGAATTCTACAGTGGTATTGGTGGGATGGTAATCTTCTTTATCTCCTGCTTTCTTTCTCGCTACATGTATACACAGATGGGGACAGGTATTTTATAGGTTAACTGATTATTTTTGTTCTAATTGCGTTTATTAGAGGTATTCGCTAATAAAGGCTGGCGTGAACGCTGAAGTAGTAGAAGCTTTTGACATAAATAATATAGCCAATGATGTCTATGAGTATAATTTTGGCCACTGTCCTTACCAGGTTTGTTTTTCTATTTTAGTTCACCAGTCAGCTTTTTGCTTCTGCAACCAATTTAGTTTTTCTCCTTTTGGTTATTATTAGAATTGGTTAGTGAGAGTTAATATTATCATTATATTACCAGCTTTGCCCGTTTTCTTGTTGGAATTGAGATTATAAGTTTTTTTATGCAGGTTTTGTTTAGTTATGTGTTTTACTTTTATTTTAGTAATGAGAAGCTCTAGCTAATTGTATTGGGGACTTTTAGTTATCTGCTATAAAATTATATTGTAACGAGTACATTTTTGAAATAATGGCTTAGTGGATTTGAGATTCAGAAAGTTCAAGATTACTTCGCATTAGCTTGTTTTTAGTTTCTATATGGTGTCATTATTTTGGAAGTGGAATTTGTAAATTTTCATAGTTTAATTGTATCTTAAATATTTTGAGCATCATAGGGTAATATTCAGAGTCTGACTGCTGCTGATCTCGACAGTTATGGGGCACATGCATGGTTGCTTTCACCTCCTTGTCAACCCTACACTCGACAAGGTCAAAATCGCTTGTTCATATTTTTTCTTGTTTTAATATTTGTATTATGGTTTTACGACATGTTCATTGCATTTTGTGATTAGGTCTTCAGAAGCACTCTGGTGATGCTCGGGCATTTTCTTTTCTCAAGATCCTTGAACTTATACCACACACTAAACGACCACCAAATATGTTGTTTGTGGAAAATGTCGTTGGATTTGAGGTATGTTCTCCAATAAATCAGTTGACCAGATAATCTGAATTGCAATAGCTCTTCACATGTTCTTTATGTCTTTTTTATTTGCATCGCAGACATCTGATACACGTGCCAAAATGGTGGAGATTTTAGCAAACTCTGATTTTGTTACACAGGAGTTTATTTTGAGTCCATTACAGTTTGGCATTCCTTACTCCAGGCCACGCTATTTTTGCTTGGTAACACCTCCCTCCCTCCTAGTTTTCTCAAATTTTTCTGTCAATATATTTCATTACGTTGTCTTTCCACATTTTAATGTTACAAAATTAGATTTATAATACATTGTCACATCACATGTAAAATAAGAGTCTTTAAAAAGGCATCAGAAACATCTATTTAGAACCTAGACTTTTGGTGTCTAGAATGCAAATGCAATTTGGGAGAAGAAAGTATTTGCATTTTACAAGATTAAGAATTATTTATGTAGGAAGGCTAATCTTTTTCCAAAAATCATAGCATCCTTGTAAATGGCTGTTCTTTATCCTTGACAGTTGACCATTTAGGATTCTTTGGCTGAATATCATTAGAACCATATCATGTAAATATAAAATATCAATCTATAATTTGCATTCTATTCATTTACTGTGCAGGCAAAAAGAAAGCCTTTTTCATTTCAGCACAACGTCTATGATAATCAGCTTCTTTATTCTTTGGGCCCCTTATTTGAGCACGATGGAAAGACCGTTGTAGATGCATCTGATCAACCACCAGAGAACTGGGATAAGTTGCTTCTCTCATGTGAGCCAGTTGAGAATTTTCTTGAATTCAAGAACTCCAGCAACCAAGTAGATGCACAAACTGGTCTTGTGGCAATTACCAAGGTTTCTGGAGACTGTTCTCAAGGTTTGGAGAACATTGGTGAAGGAGATCTTTGTACAATGGAACAGTATTTTGTCCCATCGAGCTTGATAGAGAGATGGGGAACCGCTATGGGTAACTTTATTTTTGCTATGTTTTCCAAAAGTACTAATATTTTCAAACTTGCACATTTTTTTGGAATCATCCTAAATTCCTGATGGAATCCAGATATTGTTTATCCTGATTCAAAGAGATGCTGTTGTTTCACAAAGAGCTACTACAGATATGTGAAAGGGACTGGATCCCTATTAGCAACTGTCCAGGTATACTCTATTTCAAAATCGTTATTTTTATGGCCTTGGAAATGGGAAGTTGGTTATTTTACTGTCTAAGAAAAAGGGTGGCCAATTTGCTGTCTATATATTCATTGGAGAAACATATGCTAGATTACCTTTCATTATCTCAATCACTTCAATCAATGCTTGAGATTGACACTGCAGTGTGGTCCTGCCTTCTGAATTCATTTCCAACATATAATGTAATCAGCATATGTTGATCTTTCATGATAAATTTGCTGTATGCATCCATCGATGTTAGTCTGGCTGGAAGAGTTAATTCTATTCATGATGTTATTTCCCCCACTAGCACGTGCAGAGCCAAATTGTAAAAATGTTAAATTACCGGAACAATATCTACTGCAGTTCCAAAAATGTTAAATTTGATTGTCAACATTTAGGTCAATGTCTATTCACTTGGGTTGAGTGCAAGGCGTTGGTGTTAGAAATCCTAATACTTGAATTACAAGTTATCAATACCATGTACTTCCTCTCAATGTGATATTTATAAGATGAACATGCAGCCAAAGGATAAAGGGAAAACATCTTCACTGAAGGAGCAAGGCCTAAGATATTTTACTCCTAGGGAGGTAAACAGATTTTGCTGATCTACTTATTGTTTGAAATTTTTGTTCTTTCATGTTGACAAATTTTGTTCATATAATTTTTTAATGACTAGGTTGCTAATTTGCATTCTTTCCCCAAGGATTTTAATTTTCCACAACAGATAAGCCTAAGACAACGGTATGTAATTACTATCTCTGTATCAGCATAGTTACATTAGATAAACATGTTTGGCAGTTACCATTACCGGGTAGTCACTGATGATCACCTAGTTTATAACTTGCCAGCTAAGATCAATCGGTCCATGTAAATTGAGAACTTTCTTTATGGGATGTTCATTTGGCAAATCAAAATAATAAATATATTTTGCATCTAATCATCAGCTATCTTATTTGTTCACTGACATTGCTTGCTTCTTGTAGTTATGCACTGCTGGGGAACAGTTTAAGTATTGCAGTGGTTGCTCCCTTGCTCTGCTACCTGTTTGCCCAAGAATGGTGATTTTTTAATCTAAAACCACCATTCTATAGATGTTCAGATTTCTCTCTCAAGATATATTCTTCCCAATTTTGCTCGGTGCTCAATAGGTGGTTTTCGCCCTTCATTTTTGGTCCGCAGGGCTCATGAATCTGAAGAGTTGGCTTCCAATTATTTTTATGCCTTACAAATTCAGCACCATTGTGTGGAGCAGAGGATTGAACTGTTAGTGTTACTGAAATCTAATCTTTTTTCCTGCCGTTATGGACTATGTTTCGCAGTCAGTGGCTTAAACAGACTATTAATTGTTGTTTCAATTGTGTAGACATCCTTTCACTAACGGATGGGATGTAGTTTTTATGTATGAGAGAATTCTCTTGTATTGAATGAATTGTTTAATTGATTTTAGTAACTGTAATTTTAGGTTGAAATTTGAAATTTCTCACAAATGCGAAGTTTATTAATTTCATAATTTAAATTCTATGATCCAAGCTGATAAGTATTATAATTTTTATTTATCTAAATAATCAAAATTGCAAACATCGGTAAGATGTGAATGAATTAATAAATAATATATATATATATATATATCATTTCTTTGCCAGCGAAAAAATTAGAAAATAAACGTAAATATATCAGGTTGGGATGATGCATTCTTCGCCAAGAGATTGAGCGTCAAATATATTTATTTTAAGAGATTAAATTAAAAAAGAAAATCCTGTTCCAACAAAAATTAGGTGGAAAATAGTTTGGGCGCATTGCGCACTCCTCCTCGTTCGTCTGGTTGGTATTAATTAAACTTAAAAATCACGTAAAAAGGACAAAATCAAAAACAAATATTATAATACAAAATATAGAATAATAATAAATAATATTCTTTTCTCCATATTTTCTCTGTCACTCAAAATCATCTTCCTCAACAAAAATCGTAAGAAACCAAATTCTCTCGTCGATCGAACTTAGCACGAAAGGTCTGTAAAATGTCGCCTCTCTGTCTGTCATCTTTCTATTAAATTCATATAATAATTCTTACTGGTTTGCTCTTTTTTTTTTTTCTAATTTAAATTTAATTTATATATCTTCAGTTTTTTTTTTTTTTTTTATCGTAAGGAAACCAAATTCTCTCGTCGATCGAAACTTAGCAAGAAAAAAGGTCTGTAAAATTTTCGCCTCTCTGTCTGTCATCTTTTCTATTAAATTCATATAAATTCTTACTTGGTTTGCTCTTTTTTTTTTTTTTCTAATTTTAAATTTAAATTTATATATCTTCATATCTTCCAGTTTTTTTTTTTTTTTTCTGTCGAAGAATATGATTTATTAGTAATCACAGTAATATAAAGTTTCTGAATTTTCCTCTTACGTTAATTAATGGTTATGTGCGTTTAACACAGTTCTTATTGATTCAAGAGATTGATTTTTTATACTTTATTTAATTTGTTGTTTATTTTCATGTTATTAAATTATTTAATACGGCGTCTGATAGTGATTAGTAAAAACGTTAAAAATTTCTTTGTTGCTGCAGGGCTTTTTTTCCAATATTTGTTCTTTTGATATAAGGACAATGAGATTCAAGGAAGGTAGTAAAGTGGAGGTATTCAGCAAAAGGGATATGCCTTCTGGTGCATGGAGGTGTGGTGAGATTGTTTTTTCAGGCAATGGACATGCTTATAGTGTTAGGTACGATTGTCCTCCAGGAGAACCTAATAGGGATCTTGTGGAGAAGGTCCCAGGAAAAGCCATTAGGCCCTGCCCTCCTCCTGTGGATGACTTCTTGAATAGTTGGACTGATGGTGATGTGGTGGAGGTGTTTAATGATCTTTGTTGGAAGACAGCGGCCATTTTGAAGGTTTTCAGTCCAAGTTACTATTTGGTGAGGTTAATTGGATCTTCAAAGGAACTCCGACTCCACAAAATTAACATTAGGGTGCGTCAATCATGGCAAGATGGGAAATGGGTTGTAATTGGAAAGGTAAATTAGCGTTTGTTTCTTTCCTTATTTTGTTGCCCTTCATTCTTCTGTTTTATTTTGTTCAGCTTTCCAGGATGCCGGTGTCTATCTTTTAATCTTTGTCTTTAAGTTTTTATCCAATTTCTCATCGGATGCCTAATAAGGTTCTTGGGAATGTGTTCCCATTCTCATCTGATAATTATGTGTTGCCTATCATTTTCAGAATTCTGGCAGTCAGGGAGATATGAAGTGCAATAAACTTTCAACTTTGAGTTTTTATCTGAAGATGAAGGGCAAAGCAAAGACAAAATTTCAAGCAGGAGATAAATGTACTGTGACAGCTAAAACAAATAAAAGACCATTCCCTTTTCAGCTGTCTGATGTTGAAGCGGGTAAAGGAAAAGCCATAAAAATGGGAGCAATGGAGAAAAAGGGTGAGTGCCTGCAAGTGGTATCAGGGTGCTCATCATCATTTGTGAATAAGGTAGATGCTGTTGTTTACCCTGGAGAATGTATGGGTGAAATGTATATGCATACTTCTCCTAACAATCAAAGAATTGCATCATATGAAATGGAGAGGGCAGCACCAAATTGTTATGTCGAGTCTTTTAATGCAAGAAGCTTTGAATCTAATGATTCTGATATTGATGAATGCTCTGTCGGTAGCTGTAGTGTTATTAGTAATAGTCCAAGTAAACTATCTTGTCGCATCTTAGCAGGTTGTCCTGATGACGATGCCCTTAGTAGTGATGCTGAATCTTTTCATGACTGTGGAGATGAAGAAGAAAAATGTTCCATACCCTTAGGAGAAAGTGTAGCGATAAGAATCCATAGGTTAGAGTTGCATGCTTACCGTTGCACTCTAGAGGCATTGTATGCTTCTGGGCCCTTAAATTGGGAACAAGAAGTATTATTGACGAATCTCCGTATCTCTCTTAATATTTCGAATGATGAACATTTGCTGGAGCTAAGGAACTTAATCTCTACTGGAACAAGTATTCATGTTAGGTAGCAGCTAATTAGTAGGGTCCTTCTTTTCTGTGCCTTCATTTTGGGGTGTTTTTTTTCCCATTCTAGAAACAGGTTCTAGTTGGTTATCATGTCCTCACATGATTGTAAGCAGCAGGATGAAATTTATACATGTTATAGTTTTCTTAACATTGTTCAATCTGTGATGATTAGCCAATGAGAATTTGTATTTCGAATAATATGTAAGAATTCTTATTGCAGTATACTTTTTTCCTGGTTCTCCATTTTGTTAATTGTTGCTCCCCAAAATTCCTTTCCCACTCTTTTGTGCTCACCTGGTCTCTCCTTTGCAATGCTTGCCTATAATGTAGTCACTTTATCGTGATCAAATTGTCCCAGAATAGTTTGGCATCTAGGCTGCTGTTTTGTATGTATGGCCAAGAGCTTAAATTGGCCCTTTCTTTTATATGGCTGAAAATATGCTTAATTTGATATTTAGTGAAAACTCCAGAGGTTTCTGATTGCTGATGTATCTATTTTGGAGTGCGAAACCTGAATCAATATTCTTTTTGTCTTCTCACCATCAGAAGCTATACTTATTACTTGTCCTATCTATCTTCTTGTCATTCATTGAAAGATTAGTGGTATTACTCAGAACAAAAAACAACAGTTCCATGTTTTTGGTGTTGGTTGAAGATGTCATTGGATGAAATATGGTGTGGTTTGAATGTCTCCATAAATTCTGCTTTTGAGGTTGTTATTGATGAATCCCCTGCATTTTCAGGGCCAGTATTGGAGGCATGCATACATTGCTTCCAAAGGTCTAAAGGTGATGCTGGGTGCCACCATCATTTACTTGGCACAATAAATGGGGCCAATATGCACATTCAATTCCTTATGTTTGTCCGATTAATGTCCAGTTGCTGATATCATTGTTATCTCCTCTAATGCTATGGTTCATTTCTAGCATGCTGGAACCACGCACAAAATATGTGCTGGAGGAGGTGAAAGCAAAACATTAAAAAAAGGCAGCCGTGAAATTCTTATACGAAGGTCTTTCAACCTTTAAGATGAATCATGTATGTGATTTATAGTTTCTTTCTTTTCACATACAAGTTATTTATTTTATTGCTTCCAATTTTACTTGCTGTAAATTTGACAAACTGTCCAAAAGTACTATTCAGAATATAGCAGTTTATGCTTTATGGATGTGGTATCTTATGCTAAAGATACCTACTCAGCAGCTTAGCTATAAACAGTTGCGTGTGAGAAACGTGGATTTGCATATGCAATAGGAACACAATATTTGATGAATGTATTGAACTCTTAGTAATTTCAATTGTTGGGTTCCAAAAATAGGTTTGAATTTAGATTTGATATGCATTTCCACCATATTATCAATATGAGAAAGCAAAAATGATTCTGTAACTTCTAATGAGGCTTAAGTTGCAAAAGCAGTAGTTCGGTAGGCAGGCAGTATTTGCTTATCTCCAGTTATTGTAACAACGTACCTTGGGCCGGCGAGTTGGGTTCTCTTGTTACAGCATAGGCATGGTATTTAAGGACAGGCACATGCTTATTTGGTAGAGCACCTACTACCTATATTATGCAATCACGTTACTTTCTTGTTGTTCTTTTCGTTTTTTAAGGTTTGTGGTTGTTGGCATAAGGCTAGTGAACTGCCGAGAACTTGCCGATTATTATGACTTGATGTCTGAGATTCTATATTGTTGGACATCACCCCAATTTTCTGCATAATGATATACCTTTTTCTTTTGGTATTCTATTAGTGTGTGAAACAGTGGATGATATGAAGATATTTTGTGGAGATAAACGGCAAAATGATTTTGAAGCATGTGTTGAAGGTTTCTGCAGAATTTTGTTCTGCTTGGTGACACCTTCTTAAACGATGGCTTGCAGAGAATCTGATTGTTGAAGTTTATGTAAAGTAATGCTGTTGATGCTTTCTGAGACAGATCAGAATTCTTGCTTTAGGGTTTCTCAATTGTATTTTATTGCTGAAATATTATTTTTTCCTAAAGATAAGAGATCTTATGCTACCCTGCAATTGGTAATGGCTACTTTTTTGGTCTTAAAGTTAAAAAGTCCCAACCAAATAAGGCTTGAAATAATTGTTAATAGGCACATTCGATACTTAACGATGTATCATTTAATTTCTTGTTCAACCACTTGATTATTTTAATACCAAGCGAGTATGGAGCCAATGCCTTCTAAAACACCTCCATTTCCAAGTTTAGACACCAACCCCTAGCCACAGGCTACTGTCTGGAACTAACTAAATACATACTGTAACTGCGTAGGGTTTCGATTATTAGATCGATGGCTGAAATGATTATAAGTGGTTAAGTTCCAAGATTCAGATTGCCGTTTTGTTTAAGAAAGTGAACCTATGTCAGTACTGTACAAGAAGGTGGTTCGAGTTACTAGCGACGCAAGGAAATGCTACTCTCGAGGAACAACAGGAGATTCGATGATAAGACATCCGCCCAAATGATGTTTCTTGATGGTTGCTTCATTCTTCAATTCATCTTCTATCCTTGGCTTAAAAGTACATAAATGAAACCTTATTTTGGAGCTCTTGTAATGTGGGGCTTGTTCTTATTAAAAAAGCAACTTAAATCACTGATGAGCTCGAGCCTCAAACAAGAGGCAAGCAAGAAAACATGTAAGTCGCAAAACAGAGTGCAAGAGGAAAATTCTCCACCGTGGGAAAATAAACAAAGAAAAGTAACTGCAGCGTGACCAAGCAAGAGTGATAGTCTAGTGGATGTTAAGTTCAAATCAACATTCTTATCAGGAGTACTTTTGACATATTGCAATTAACATGTCCTGTTAGCCATTAATCTACCGCCACGAAGTAAATTGCAAAATGAGAAATCCGAATCTGTTCTCAAAATTTCAACCCACGTGGTCCATGCTTTACTCCGCTTGGAGGTTTTTTTCAAATATAAACAACATTAAAATCGCAACCGTTTAAAATGAAAACTTTTGCGTTACACAGTTGACTGATAACTAAATTTCCAGCACTGAATTCCAAAAGAGTCGATACAGGGCAACACTAAAATCCTAAACGAGTGCAAGCCGCAACTCAGATAACTGTGAAACGATAAGAAAGAATAAACACAGCAAAACCCCCCGCACAAAATGATCAATAGAAAACTCAGGACAAAGGGCAACAATACAACCCAGAAATAATTCAGTTCATACTCATACAGTCATGGACATAAAATCACATCCTCAAAAACCATATAAATAAAGCCCCTTCCATTACAATCCAACATCTATTGTTTACTCAAATGTGTCATCATCGTCATCTGGAAGAGGTTGACTGGCAGCAGCAGCAAGCTCAGCCTCATGCCTGTCAAAATTTCAAGCGGCATGACAAAGTTAAGACCAGACCAAGGGCACACAAAGGACCTTTAAAAAAATATCAAAAGCATAAAACAAAAATAATAGATCTTTTCCAAAAAAATCAACTCAGTATGAAATCTGATCTGTGCCCACACAAGCAGACAATTCAAGACAACTCATTAATAAAATAAACTGCAAGAAAAAAACATATCACTATATGCATACTTAAGAGTGCATGCTCATTTCAGAATTGATGTTAAAAGACGGAAGACAATGTTATTTAAAAAATACTTACTGTTGCTGAGCTGCAAGGTCAATTTGAACTTCCGGAGGTGCCAAGGCAGGAGACTCGACAAAATGCAAGTTAGGATCCCTACAGTACAATACAATTGGAAAATATTAATAATCCCTCCTATTGGTTCAACAAAAAGAAGAATTTTGATTGGAAAAGGGTTAGCACTTACCCAGCAAGTTTCCTAGCAAGATAAAGAAAAGGCTTCTCGAAATTATAATTGCTCTTTGCTGAAATTTCATAGTATTGCAGGTTCTTTTTCCTGTGAAATGTAACCTGCTTTGCCTTCACTTGCCTATTTTTCACATCAACCTTGTTTCCACAGAGGACGATAGGAATATTTTCACAAACCCTGAAAATATACAAGAACAACGCACATCGATAAACAAATGTACAAAAATAATAAAATAAGATATCAATTCAGATCATAAAACTAGACATACCGGCAAAGGTCCCGATGCCATGTGGGCACATTCTTGTAAGTCAACCGAGCAGTAACATCAAACATAATAATAGCACATTGGCCATGAATACTGTCACAAAAAATGATAAATTCATGTTAAATACCAGAGATAGGCTTGGTGAGAAATGTTGGAGAACACAAAACAATAACTCAATAACAGAAGATTCTGCAAGGAGTTCTAAGCAAGTAAAACAACATTTTCAAACTTAAAAATGAAACTACATCTTCTGAAGAATATTAGCAAGATAAGAGCTTTTTTAAAGGGCAATATCAAAGATAAAGACGGAAGACAATGTTATTTAAAAAATACTTACTGTTGCTGAGCTGCAAGGTCAATTTGAACTTCCGGAGGTGCCAAGGCAGGAGACTCGACAAAATGCAAGTTAGGATCCCTACAGTACAATACAATTGGAAAATATTAATAATCCCTCCTATTGGTTCAACAAAAAGAAGAATTTTGATTGGAAAAGGGTTAGCACTTACCCAGCAAGTTTCCTAGCAAGATAAAGAAAAGGCTTCTCGAAATTATAATTGCTCTTTGCTGAAATTTCATAGTATTGCAGGTTCTTTTTCCTGTGAAATGTAACCTGCTTTGCCTTCACTTGCCTATTTTTCACATCAACCTTGTTTCCACAGAGGACGATAGGAATATTTTCACAAACCCTGAAAATATACAAGAACAACGCACATCGATAAACAAATGTACAAAAATAATAAAATAAGATATCAATTCAGATCATAAAACTAGACATACCGGCAAAGGTCCCGATGCCATGTGGGCACATTCTTGTAAGTCAACCGAGCAGTAACATCAAACATAATAATAGCACATTGGCCATGAATACTGTCACAAAAAATGATAAATTCATGTTAAATACCAGAGATAGGCTTGGTGAGAAATGTTGGAGAACACAAAACAATAACTCAATAACAGAAGATTCTGCAAGGAGTTCTAAGCAAGTAAAACAACATTTTCAAACTTAAAAATGAAACTACATCTTCTGAAGAATATTAGCAAGATAAGAGCTTTTTTAAAGGGCAATATCAAAGATATAAATGATGCGAATAGAGAAAGCCATCCACATAAGACTGTTCGAGTATTTTCCATTGAGGGGAGAAGACAGAAATCCTTACTAGTATCCATCCCTAAGGCCACCAAACTTCTCTTGTCCAGCTGTGTCCCAACAGTAGAATCTAATTTTCCCACAGTTGGTAAAGAAGTCCAAGGGATGAACTTCCACGCCAATGGTTGCTGTTCAATAAGCAAAAAGAATTAATTTCACATATGACTGAATTTAGGTCAATTATTTTCCAACACCACTATTTATTAGATACAACAATCAACATAGAAACAAATATTAGATTGAACTGGAGGTGGTGAAGTTAGTCCTTACGCTCATATTTCTTCTCGAACTCGCCTGTAAGATGCCTTTTCACGAATGTAGTTTTCCCTGCACCACAAAGCAAATGTCAGACAGTCTCAAATGCAAAATCAATACTACATCCACAATCACAGTACTAGCACGATCAAAATTCTCAACTCAATAATCAAAAATCTTATATACCGAGATCAGCTTCGGTTTTAAACCGAGACCCAAATAAAAAGATTAACCTAACAAAGACTTCACAAAACAAAGGTAAAGCGAATATACCTGTACCACCATCGCCGACAATAACAAGTTTGAAGCTTGGATAATCTACAGTCTGCTGATTCGGTAGAGCCTATTACCCAAAAACAAAAGTAGTATTATTAGCAATAAAAAGAAAATCACAGTTCCATACAAAATCCATTTATACGAAGAGAACCATTTGATATAGAAAATGATTTTCAGCCGAAAAGGCTACACAGTACTAGATCGAAGACGAACAGGCAGAGTAAATTTGAAAATTACAAAACAGATCAAGTAAAGATCGAAACAAGAACAACTAAAAAACAGAGAGATCGACAGAGAGAGAAGACTTTACCATTTCTGCTGAGTTTTGAAGCAGAGACTTGAGAGTTTAAGCGTCAATTCGCAAAGAGCAAGGCGAGAGAGATATTGGCGATTTGAGATGGGGGTTTATAAAGAGAAGGTTTAAGGAGACCCTAATTTGTTTTGAATTTGAATCGCCTGTGATGCGGACCACAGACTGAACAGATCTAGCTTCTTTATTGATGTGATCCACCAGTGGTGATCGGTTTGTATTTGTATTGCGCTGCAGAGGATACAAGTCTCCATGTTTTGAAACTTCTCACCTGGCTTAAACCTGACGCGACTCTCTGGACCGTCCGATCTTAGTGGGTCAATGTGATCACCTCACGTGTGGCACGCGTCAGTTCAACGTGTCAAAATGGAGTTTAGGTTTTAGGTTTACGTTTCGGATTTAAAAGGCTGGGCCCAAATGTTCGTTGCCAATGGTCTCGGGTTCTAAAATGGGCTCCGGGCCAGTACTTAATGGGCTGAGTTCATGTACTGACTAGTCACAGTTAGTGATCCGATTGGTCCATGGATTAAGAAAGGTCTGTAGAAAATTATCCAATCACTTTATTCAGTAATTTTTGCCATCGATACTCTGGTTTGGTGAGTAACAGAAGTTAAGATATAGAAATTGCAGCAATGTATTTCCATTATAAATTAATGTAAAGAAGTTTCTTTTTGATTTTATCCCTCAATTTTTGAAAGTTTATTTGGCCCTTCTAATTTTTAATCCTGAATCTGCCATTTCTGCAGCTGTTTTTATGCTTGGATGTTATCATCCATCTTTCATGTTCATGACTCGAAAGGAGAATGCAGGATGTGTTCTCTATTGGAGCTGTTATTAATCTACGATTCTGGATTCTCGAATCTCACATAGATTTTAGTTCAAAGCTTGAGGAAGAACACTAGTAAGTAGTGACAGAATTCTACATTTCTCTGTTTGTCATTTTAATATTTTGGCGTGATAGTTCAATCTTAGCCGTAAAGAACGACTACAGGGAAATACTTGTATTTTAAACAATGGTGAAGCCATCTGATTCAATAGCAAAACGAAGGAAACAAGAATAATATGTAATTCGCGAACAAAAGTAATATGTAATATGTATTTTTGCTTAAAGGTAATCCATTACCACTTCATAAAATCACAATATCCCATAAGCTATCCTGAGATTAGTTACTATTTCATATATATTTTAGATTATATTAATTATATATATTATGCTAAAAAAAACTCATAAAGAAGGATTGAACCTCTTGCTCGCCTTTCATATAACAAAAATTAACATAATAATCTATAGTATTGCATTGATGTTCATGACCTTAGCCTCTGACAAGCATGGAATCATGGCTTGCGAACGCTTAACAGCTTCACATCGTCAATAACGGGTCCACAAAGAGAAGAGAAATCATCACTTCTCATGGTGTAAAATGTGCTATAGAACATTATACGAGTTCTGTTTGAAGCTGCAACAAATCTGAGCACTGCACGCTTGAATCCTCCTTTACCCTTCGACTCATAAGGAACTTTCAGTGTATCTTTTCCAGCAAAAGCCTCTACTACCATTGACCCTTCGCAAGAATTACTAGCATCGCCTACTGCAAATGAGAGTGTATATGTTTTGCCAACAACTGTTCGAGCTACCTGTGCTATTGCACTCTCTTTACCTGCCACGAGTTCTACAGCTCGTCTTGCTTGCGGGACTGAGAAATGGTCCGAGTCTATGTACTTGACTGCTTTGAGTGACTCGATCATCCAGCCAGGAAGAGGAGAGTGATCGTCCTCAATGTTTGGTGGGATCAGGACGCCCCATGATGTGTTGGGGAATATGTATGGACCTTCTTCAAAACCCCCATTTTTTAATATGTTCTCTGTACAACAAATAAAAGAAGAAAACCATTAGTTTGGAAGTACAAATCCACTTTCTACCTGATAAAAAACCAGAAAGAAGAAATTTGAAAATATGATTATCATGGAAAGAACAGCTAGTTGCTATATGGGACCAAAGGAGTAGGCAGGGCACATGGGTAGTTGTACATCAACTATAACTTCATGTCCCAAATCTACAAGGCCATATTGATTAAGGGTAGATATGCTTGAGAAATAGTTTATTGCATGTTGATTGTTTTCTTGCTTATATTTAAAAGAAAAAAAAAATAACAGTAATTCAAATAATCATCTCTATCTATATAATTGGCCTTTTTGATAATTCACTTTTGCCACTTGCTTTTTTATGTTTCCTTTGAAAGAGACTTCAAAGAAAGAAAAAACAGAGTAACACCAACTTTATAAATACAGATCACTCAAGAAATCACCAGTGCTTGACTACTATTCTTTCCAAGCTCCAAAAATAATGAACCCTACAAAAGACAAGGTCCTATGTTTACGCCTTGTCGTTTCTAACCATTAATGAATAATTTTACATTGATTACGCTGAATAAAATATAGTTCTTGGAATTTAATTATTAGAATGTGCATGTGATGGTGATTACTGATAGAAGATTAAAGAACTTACTATTGGTTGGTCTGGGCGGATACAGAGCTCTAATGGCAACAGAATCAATTAGAGGACCGCAAGCAGGATCCTCTTCTACTCCTGGATTATGTATAACAAGATCAACAACTGGGTATTCAGCTTGGAAAGCCCAGGCATAGGAGTCCCATCCATTGCTACTATACATAGTCTGCATTGGCAAAACACCCGAGTCCGGCGAAACCGACACGTTCAATGCCTCTTCTTGTGCACAAGTTCTAGCAGCACTAAACGTGATGGAATAGTACATGCCTTTGATCACTTTTAGCTTTTGTTTAATTGATGCTTCGTTCCCAAGCCGAACTGCATATGCTCCTTCTGGCACTACCAGCAACATGTCCCCTTGCTTTTGCCCTGATTTTATGTACTCTACAAAACCTGATATCTCCCATCTTGGTATGGCGTATCGCCCTAAAACCTTTGTGCCGTTCAAGTCCGATTGCTTGGGACCCAGCTCGAAATTACCATTTTCAATCAACCCTGCATGAAATTTAGAAATTTGATTAAACTAATGAATTTTGGCTTGTGATAGACAAACTAATCACAAGAATACAAATTGAACAAGAATGATCTCGTAGTCTAATGGGCTAAAAATAGAAAGGGAAAGTGACTTCATCCAACTGAAAACTCTATTGCAGAGAATTGGATATTTTCTTTAGCAATGTCACATGTGCCAATTTTGGCCATATCTGATTACAATTAGAAAAAATGCTATTTATAGTAAGCTGGTAAAATAATAGCGTCGATGACAGGACTGAAATATCATGTGCATAGCCACAAGAGCCAGCAGTGAAGTGGACCTAGCACCTGATATATATAGTAAAACTATCTATATGCAAATTCAAAAGAGACTCAATGAAAGCCAGAGGAAGCGTATATGATATTACTTTTATCTATCTACCTATACACTTACTATTGTGATTTTTTTTTTTTCACAATTTATATATGTCTTTGTCATATGAATATGACTACTGAGAAAAATGGGTGAAAAGCCATTCAAATTTCCCAGAAAACTCTGCAGCACTCTGTCAACTACAGTTAAAGCCAAGAAGATTGATATTAAACTAAAAACAGACAGACATAATCATGAAAGATAAAATATTCACCATTAAGAAGTTAATTAATTCATTCTTAGATACAACTTCAAAAACTAGCTAACACCTCCATTGATTTATGTTCAGAAAATAAAAATCTGAGTCCTGAAACTCAATTGAACTTAGCATCACTTGGTAGAAATAAATAATTTACAGAGAAAAAGAAAAAGAAAAACAATTCTTGATCTGGGTTTTCTAAAGAACGAGTGTATTGAAGCATATAATTAAGCATTCATGTTAAAAAAGCTTACCATCTCTAATGGATACGGAGAATTGGCAGGCAGCTAAGAGCAGCACCGACAACAAGATAGCCCCTCTCATTTTTCAGTATTATCTATTTGCAATTACAAAATACGAGAAAGAGAGAGAGAGAGAATTAAACAGAGACTGACTTGTGGAACATGCGTAGTGGGGAGCTGCAGGGGAGAACTCAGGTTTATATGCATGTATCAATGCAAGAGAGACCTTGGATTTCAATGAAATTTCGAAATTGGCATTGGTGGCAGTATCTTGATGTGTTTAATTTAAATGACGAAAGAGCCCTTTATCTTTTTTTTTTTTTTTAAATAATAAATCATAGAGGCTTGTCTTGTGGTGGAAGTCTGAAGACAAAGCTGTTAATGTCACATGGTTTCCCTCCCCTTCAGCTGTTGCAGGAGCATGCATGGCCACGATACTTGCACTTCATTTTCTTGACTCTTGCCTGCTCTTCTTGCAGGTTATATTCGTTATTTCATTTATATGATATTAACTATATTCGTTATTTCATTTAAAGATATTAACTATATTTTCTCAAACTAAGTAAGAGTCAAATTAAATTATTTTTATAAATTTTTGGAATAAGAATATGGTGAGCCTTTCATTTGGAATTCAGACTAATTAATTAAGTAAATAAAACATATGATTCTGATTGTCATTAATACCCATTTCGTATCTCCATTTTCATTTTTATATTAAAATAACATCCTGAGATTAATCGAGCGATGGAAAGTGGGTCCCATTAACGGAGAAGTCCTGGAACTAGAGCTGAGCTAATCCAAAATAGAGGTGAGGAAAGGTTCGTGGCATGTTGGTGGGCTTTGGTGTGGGCCTATCTTATTAAAATAATAATACGAGAAAGTGGGCCGACGCATGTGCGTGGCCGAGCTCAGCCAGCCCTGATATCAAGGGACATGTACACCTCATCACCTTTCTCCTCTTTTTGTATTTTCTTGTATTCCCAATATTCACCCTCTCTTTTCTACTAATTTTACTGATTGCCCCTCAATTGGTGGTTGCTATAAATTTTTCTCTCAGATTTGGAGAATCCGCATTTGTTTCTCCACGATTTATTTTCTTGTCTGCTGGTAAGGGAGCGGGAAATTATTATATTTACAAATATAAAAATCGTCTTATGTTAACGAAATATAAAATTTATTAAATTTAATTTCTGTATAGATTTTAAAAATCCATTAAATGAAAAAAAAAATTCACAAATTGAATGTTATTTTTCAAGTAAAATCAAGTACTTTCAATTTTGTCATTCATAAAAAATGAATGAGTTGAGGAAATGATGGGAAGCATCAATAGTAGAAATGTTTTTTTTTTTTCTAAATTATCCATTTTTTAAAAAAGAAAAAATAAATAAATAAAGGAATGAGAATAAAATAAAAATTAGGGATGTTACAAGTGATAATGGATCCAAAAGTGTCAATATGAAAACTTGTTTTTTTCTCCGGCTGAGACAAATTTTGGTTATAAGAAGTCACATGACCCTTACACTACTTCCATGAGAAAAAAAAAAAAAAACTTATTTTTTAATTAACTTATTATTATTGTCTCACAAGATGAAAAGAAAGGGACCCATTGAAGGATACGAATAGTAATCAATAAGGTTATTCTTGCTATTTTTGTTTGTTTATTATTATTATTATTATTATTATTATTATTTTGGGGGGTAAATTTTCTTTTTATTTCTTGAAATTCAGTGACAACTTCCGAGGTATGATGATATTCATACAGCCAGTAAAGCGAGTGCGGCGTCTAATAACGGTGGAATGTTGAGTTAGGTTTGACATCAGTTTCGACGGCCCTTCCTGGATTCTCTTGGTTCGGTGGATTGGACGACATAGACCGCCCAACTGACTTACGACCCGCTTTCTTTTATTTTCAGACAAATCGGAGGGTTGCTAAACTGGCCACGTGGCTTACAATTAATGAGGTTGTCTCCCGATAAGAACACGACCAACTCATATTAGCAACTAGACGACTACAATAAAGCAACCAGATCGAATTTTAGGTCATTTAATTTATTTGATATATACAAATGAAATTTTATTAAATTTATTTGTAAAATTATATAAGTTTATTACTATTTGAGTCAAAAATTTATTTTAATATAATGAATCTTAAGTACAAATTGATATATTCCTCCGCCCCAAAAGAAAAAAAAAAATCATTTTTTTTCTACATTTGCTGTCGGTGTTGTAATTAATAATGGAGGCAAAAGAAAAGAGATTGAAGAGGACATTGATCAAGCTTCCACATGAAATGAATCTGGAGTAGATTTTTCAGATTATTGGGATATGGATCATACACATTCAATAAACTCAAGAGATCAGTAACCCTACAGCTTTTCAATGATTGAAGATGGACATCCTAACTACTGACAATGCTATGTCAAAAGCCGAAGACCCTACCGACTTCTAAAGTAAAATGTTTTTCCTATTAATTAACTTTTATACAGACATGGATGTTTATAAACAATATTATGAAATTAATGGAAGAGAAGAGAAGTTGGGCATAGCCAAAGAGAGACAGAAGGACGATAGGATATGGTAGCAAACAAAGACAGATTTCTCATTTAAGTATGTGCTCATGCAATCACATGGAAATGTCCATTTGTGGATAGGATTGCACAATGGAAAATTTATCCTCAGCTCTTAGTATAAAGGGACAAATTTAGGTGGGCCTCTTTGTTTTCCACTTGGTAATTTCTTGTCCAAAAAGTGTGACCTTACATGTTTTCAAATTGTTCATTCAAATTACTGAACTGTTCTCCTTTTATTAATGTGGATTAGGTTTGGAATGAAGAACTACTCCCGATCATGCTAATGCAAATACATGTATTTTTGAATTGAACCATTTAAGGCACCAGCAGCTACCACTATCACTGTATAACTTTTTAGTGACAACATATAAATTGCTAACATAGCCATGCAATTGGTCACCCTCACGGTGGGCTCAAGAAAGAAGATGAACGTGAAAGCATATGCACATGCATGGACATCAAAATACGAGAGAGAGACGTTCGTGGATGTCAACTTGGCTACGCCTAACAGTTCATGTGATGCGGTCTGAAGTCACTGGCTCTGGCATTTATAGTGGCGGAGATAACCTTTTTGCGGCTGAACACGTTACTCAACTATCAATTTTGTGATTTTGTCCTTATAACAGTCTCAATTTTTATTGTAAATTTAATATCATTTTATACTATAACCTTATAGTATGCTCAACTTCTATCAAATTAACTTGCAAAATTGTTTAATATGAAAATTTCAATTTATAAAATTAAATTAACTAAAAACACATTAAATTATTAAAAAAATATAAAAAATTACTGGTCTAATAATTATAATAACTACAAATCAAATTAATATTTTATATAAAAACGCCCGAAACTCTAAAAACTAACGTTATTTAGTATAAGAATGCCACTAAAACTCGTAACACTAGGATAAATAGGGATAAAAATATTCAGTGTTTAAATTAGGCCACAAAGTTAGGGCGCCTTCATGAACAGTGAAATTATACCCTCGTACGTTTTTAGGCAAAGCTGCACGCTCAGAAATTATCAAATGCAGGGCTTGGCAAAAGATAGCATTGTGGACAAACCATCACCACAGCTGTTTAGCATGAAATGAAACTCCAATAATTGTTTCACATTGATTATTAGCAAAATGCCAGTTCAGATAACCACATGCTAACACAATCCATCATCCGGCACAAATGATTGGTAAAACAAACTTAAAAACAAAAGCATCATACAATCTCCCTTAAGTTATGGCAACATTCTGCCACATTAAGTAGATGCTCATAAAGAAATTCATTTCCACAGCCAATAGCTACAGGTGGAAACTAACAAGCTTAAGGAATGGTGCGCTGATAGAGAGGTAAAGCTCCCAAAGCTTCACGTTCGGCTCTCTCCCTCTTCACCTGCAAAACATACCAACAAAACATGTTACCACAGCTTTCATATTTGCAGTCAGCGTTTACCCCAAACTGAAGTCATTCTTCAAACAGATGCTTGTTATCCAGTTACTTTCATGTATGAAGGGAAACCAAGGATAGTAAACATGCAGACTTGTACATAAAAACAATGACGCTTGTTATCCAGTAACTGCGATCTTGTTATTATGAAGAAAAATAATACCATGATATATGATACTGAGACACAGTGATTCCTCATAAGTCATGACTTACAAATTACTTCAAATCTTAACAGATGCTGCCGGTAATATGAAATGGATGGAGACAACAAGAAGAAATATCAAATGGAGCCAAAATCTAGCTTACAGAACCAGCGTTCTAAGCTGGCCCAAATTACACACACTAAAAATGATCAAGTGTGAAAGAACCTAAAGGTAAACCCAGTGGGAAATTCTACTTATGAGGTGCATATCACAACACAAGAAAGATAACAAAGAAATTTGTTTAAATTGGGGTGGCCAAGAGAAATCAAACAAGACATCCCGCAGATGTCGCTAGGCATTAACTTATTGGCATAACAACTCCAAACCTAGAGAAGTGTCAAAATTAGACTAAAGAAGGGTCACACTCATAGATGAAGGGTTTTACGAAACTTTGCTTCAACATCTCAGTTCATACTATTTTTTGACTGCAGCCATAGCAAATGGGCTATAGTAAGTTACATATTCTTAATTGTAAGCAACTTCGTCCACCTCATACCAAGAAGTTCACTCATTTGTGGCAGAAAATTTTACCAATCAGTTAAAAAGGCTAGAAAACAGCACTTGCCCTAAGATAATAAATGATCCAGTTAAAAAAATGGCATCACGGCGTAATAAGCTATAATCAAGCACCTTAATAAGATAGTAACACCTATGATCCAAAGGACACTACTCGATTAGAAAATTTATAATGGTAATCATAAGAGGATGAAAGAATTTCCCTCATTTGAAAGACACGAGAGTAGCTCATTTATATAGTAGCACCTAAACCTATCAGTATGTCCTCTGGAGAAGAATTCATAAAGTTGCTTTCTTAAAAATGCTTCTCTGTCCACAATTCAATCTATATATATAAAAATATATAGCTTACTATGTCTTAAATGATTGGAAGCAGCCGTGGTTTTTGATTGGCAATTTACATTGTGCTGAAACAAGGTCCCCTTGGTCGTCTCACACGAATGAAGTTGCAAACGTAATAGCCATTTCACTTTGGTCCAAGGCCATTAGATAACTCACTAAACAAACTGATGTGCCACATAAAGGAAATAATTACTTTCATGCATCACAAAAACGAACAGAAGGTCTATTACTTTTTTTGGACAGTAGTGAAATGAGAGATAGAAATGTAAGGAAATGAATCTGCACCAATAGAATAGTATGAAATCCTACTGCCCAAGTAACAAAATCTAAATTCAGTCACAGTAGCACCAACACCAATGACGGAACACACTCATAAGAAAAATAAATATAATTCACAGAGAAGGCATATGCTAAATGTGTCAAACTATCACAACTTAAAGAAGAAAAAGGGTGGACAAATTCCTCGAAACAACTTACAAGAGCAAGCATATCTTGAAGGTAGTTCCTGAATGGTGTTTGCCTTGCCTGAAAAAGTGCAAAGAAAAAAAAAATATAGCTCATAATATCCCGAATTACAATTGAACAAACATATTTTCCAACATATATAAAAGACACCAACGACTGTGGAATGTAGACAGTCAGTATAGTGACTGCGCCTTAACCAAGCCAAATACAAGCGTTATTTAATTAATTGGCAATCATACAAGTATGATATAAGTCCGATTCTCTAATCCCTATTCCTAGGTCATGGTAAATTATCAAATTATCAGTCAACCCCAGGAATCACACAACCAGAATAGAGATTTAAATCACAAAGTAATGAGCACCTGGAGGTCCTCAGGAAGGTACTCGTGTTTCATGGAGAGGTCCATGGCGCGCTTAAGGCGCTGATTACGCGCATCCACAATCTCTCTTGGTAGCCGATTGAGCGCCTCCTTGATGTCCAGATCGTAGTACGGATCGTAAAGATCGTCGTATCGGAGCCCTATCCTTATTCAAATACGTACATAAAAATCAATTGTTCATATATGAATAATGCATGTATTGGAAGATGAAGAAATTTAGGGTTTCAGAAATGCTAACCGTATTTGCGGAGGCGTTTGGATAGAGCTTTCATGTGCTGTTTGGCGAACCAGTTCTTTCGCGGATCGATTAATGACTGCAACAACGACGACATTTTGCCCCTACTGCTTTCCTTCGCTCTGTGCAAATTTCGAGCTTTCACCCTCTGGCTGCTGCCGCTTTCTATGCAATCCTATTTTCTGGAAGAATCGTCAAGCGCCTTCGAGATTTTTGGGTTGGCGAAATAGACATTTTCAAAGAGAGGGTGTGTAAAACGGTGCGGACAAATAGATATTTTTGGGCCTCGACTATTATTGGGCCTCAAAAATAGTTAGAGTTTGGACTACTAGCCTAAGGCTTCATAGTATGCCTATGTCTTACTTTGGCCCCTATCCTCTTCAATCGGCCAGAAATTGACAAGCAGTTGCGTTATTCATCAGAGAAATTTATAGGTAAACTCAGTACGAGTCTAGCGATCTACCAAATAATCTATATACTGGGAATTTATGATCCATATATTGGGAAATATTTTGCCAAACACTCTATGTATGGATTGTTCTATATATCAAGCTAATAAAAAAAAAAAGATTTTTTTTTAAAATTATTTTTTGTCTTTTTTTTTCCATACATGGTTAGAAATATTTTCATTTGAATCAGAATAATATTTGTAGTTGATTTGATGTATAGATAAACTTATACATTGAGCATAGATAAGCTTTCGAACCAAAAACTCCACAGATACATCAATTTGGAGTTATGTTTAAATGTATGAGATTGTTTGAAGTTGAATAATTAGAACAATACATCTAACATAACTGGGTTGATCCATATATTATGTGTAGACAAATATTTTTCGATAAGATTGTGTTATATCAGTAAAAATTCATAAATAAACAGATGGTAGATTTACTGCTCTAGTAATCAACAATTGCCAGATTCAGTGCGCTCAACTGTACATGAGGTAAGAACATCTTCATTCTTTAACGACTACAACGACCACAAAGCTCACATGCAAAATAGCACATTTTGTGCAAGTGATATGGGTCCCAAAATCAGGGAACAAAAATGTTTCAACTCGCACATAATTCATGAATTGTATGCTGTCTTGCCTGCCATTTTCCTTGTCCAAGGGCCCATTTCTCCCCGATACCTTTAGCTCCGGCCATCCGGGAAAATTTATTAACCAAAGCATTGAACATAAATATGTCAACATCGTTAACTGCTAAAGATTTGATCTGATTTTTTACTTAGGAGAAGGGAGATCTCTTACAAAATTATTGCAATATCCATCTTTTTGAATATGATAATAATACTTTTCTTTTCTACCATCTCTTTTTATTACTGTTAATCACAGTTAAAGGAATTCAAGCTTGAAAGCTTTAGGTGAAGCTTTCAAGTGCAATCCATTACAAGAAGCGACATTTCAGGGAAGTACTTAGTTTGGATTTTGGATTAACGTAAGAAAACACAAATATGCATGCCATGCATTTTTTTGCAGTTGTATGCATGCCATGCATTGTTTTGCAGGTGATGCAAAATTCATCGGCCAAAACCATTTCCACTCCACGACATAATTCTTCTCTGGTTTTCTTTGATAACAGCAAATTAACCCTACCTGTACCAATAATTACACCAACTTTAATTATGAAAAATTTGGTGGCCCATTAAAAGATTGTTAGGATCTTAACAGAGACCAACTTTGAGGAGGAGAAAGAAGGTTCTCAGACAAAATGAGTGGAAAATACAGTTCTTGACGTGGAAAATATATTAATTCTTGTTCTTGCACTTTTAAAAAGAGATGGATACAATTGATATAGATCACTTTCCGAGAGGAACGAATCAACACTCACTGTTTGCGATACTATCGTATTTGCATAAGTAGATATAGCCAGAGGGAGCAAATCAGAAAAGGAAAAATTACAATCACGGTTTCTGCTGCTATAATAATTGGACATGAACAATAAGCTTGCCTTGCTTTTTAGTACTTGATCCACATGCACGATAGACATATTTGGAATCCTCAGCTCCCTGTGAATTCGTTGGTTTAAGTTTGGTCGCTCAACGACTTATGTAATTATTGGAATCTGTCTTATTTTATATATCTCTGATCTTTTGTCATCGATTTTTTCAGCGTCCTTGGATATTTTGAGTTGGGTCCTTGTTAAAATAATAATAAAAAAAAAAATTATAATGCAATTAAAATTTCAACTTCACACCTAATCCTGATTATAACATGTTATAATTATTTTACTCAATTTAGATTAAGCCTCAAAAATAAACATGCTTTTTCAAAGAGAAAATAACATATACTTATATGCTAATCCTAATTAATGCATTCACATAAATTTCAACTCAAACTGACTTTGTAACCCTAATCAGTATCCTCACGTCACAAAGAGATTCTTTACCTAGTTGTCTTCAATACTAAAAAATTTTTCTTGTAATCTTTGTGATTTAGTGCTCTCGGATACTAATTTTGCTAAATAACAGTATAAATTTTAAACAAAAAATAAAAAATTATAATAATAAAAGGTAAAATATTAATCAGATCAAACTTATTAATTATAAGGTAAATTATTATTTTAATAATTTTTTATTATTCATTTTGAAACTCAACGGTCCGAAATAATATTTTGAATATTTTATTTCCATCTACCTACTACCTTTTTTTTTTTTTTTTAAGATTTTCTACTAAAAATATATCTTTCAAAAATTTCAAATTTTTTATTTTCACGCTACTCATATATTCAATCCCTTTCTGTTACTTAATTTTCTTTCTACTTTTTTATTATTCCGTGAACTCAAATGCAATCTTAATTATTAGGAAATTTACAACCAAAAAAGGAAACAATGAACAAATAATAATAACACCAATACAACAAAAACTCCAGCGTACCAAAACTAAGTTGAAAAAATAAATTTATGACATCTTGCTTAATATTGCATTTGTAATAATAACTACCAATGACTTCAGAACTCACAGATACAACAAAACATGATCGAAGCTTCTGTCATTTGTGCGCATAAACTTAATTCAATTTTGTTTGTCCATAAAACAAATATCATGTAATTCTTTATTTTGGTATTGTAAAATTAATTAATTATAAAATTAATTAATTATAAAAACAAATATCATCCATAAAAATGTATTTCTTAGAAAAAAAAAACTATGCATTTAAAAGAAATAAAATGAAAATAATTTTAAATTCGATTGGTTTAGTATATGAGCGTGTATTATAATCATTATTAAAAGAAAAATGTTGAAGTTTTTCCTCCAGTTCGGAGCGGGCTCTATCGGCAGCTTGCAAAATCCAAAAGATTACAGTTATAAATAAAAGACAGGGGATCACCAACTGAAACTAATTTTTGGGCTAATCCCATTCAGCCATCTAATAGAAGGAGAAGATACGGGCAAAAGAGTAATTTCGCGGTTGAGTTTTGGAGGGACAAACTCAACATAAAGAATAATAAATAAAAAAAAGCAGGACGCGAGTCACGTAACGACCGCAACAGTAGCAGAGAACAGAGCAGAGAAAGAGAGAGAGTATCTTTGAAACATGCACACGACATGGAAATGGGCATAGGTGAGAACCAGAGAGAGAATCAGTGAAAGAAATTCCTAAAAAGCTAATTTGCAGAGGAAGTAGGAACAATGTGGAAGAGGAGAAACGCATTGTTCTGTGGACATTTTGAAGAACATGAAGATGATGGAATGAAGCTTCATGAAAAAGAGATGGAGCAATTCTCAAGAGACGATAGAAGTCACTTCAGTCTAACAGGCGAAATTCTTCCTTCTCTTGGCGCCACCGCTCGTTCCGGTCGCCGCATCATTCTCCGTCGCTTCATTGTCTCCCCATTGGATTCTCGTTACAGGTTTTTTCCTTTATTTTCTTAATTGATTTTGAATTTACAGGTTTACGTACACGAGAGAGAAACAATGTGGATGGTTTTTTCATGTTTGAGAATTTAGATTGATTTTTTTTTTCTTTTTTTTTTTTTTTTTCAAGAGAAACAATGTGGATGGTTTTTTTCAATGTTTGAGATTCTAGATTGATTTTTTTTTTTCTTTTTTTTTTTTTTTTTTCCATTTTTGCTCTTTCTTTTTCTTTTTGCTTTGAATATGTATATTTTTTTTTTTTTTTTTTTTTTTTTTTTTTTTTCCATTTTTGCTCTTTCTTTTTCTTTTGCTTTGAATATGTATATTTCCAATAGCTGATTCGGTGTTTCAATGCTAAAAATCAGATTTCAATGTCATCGGAATTTAACATTTGTTTCATTCTTTTATATTTTATCTTCGAAGTTTTATTTTATGTTTTCGAAGGAAAAAACATTGTTAAGGACATTTGAAATAAAAATCTTCCAATTCACAGACATTTTTACTAATTAGGAATGATGATCTGGAAGCGTAAATTGATTTGGTTTTTGCAGAACATGGGAGACCTTCCTGGTATTTCTAGTTTTCTACACGGCATGGGCATCGCCATTTGAATTTGGATTCCTTGAGAAGCCGGCTGGAACTATTGCTGCAATAGACAATGTTGTTAATGCATTTTTTGCTGTTGACATTGTCTTGACCTTCTTTGTGGCATACCTTGATAAATCAACTTATCTTCTTGTTGACGATCGAAATAAGATTGCTTTAAGGTATGCAAAAACCTGGCTGATTTTGGATGTCATCTCCACCATTCCTTCTGAACTTATCAGGAGTATGTTGCCTAATCGGTTACAGTCATATGGATACTTTAGTATGCTTCGTCTTTGGCGTCTCAGGCGAGTCAGTAAATTTTTTTCAAGGTAAAATTAGGATTTTCTTAATTGGTGATTACTGATTTCATTGGAATACTGTGTTAATTTGATTTTTTTTTTTTTTTTTCCTTTCAAGTTGTTTCTGCTCATTTTTGTTAACATTAAAAGAATAAAATTAATTTATTGTCCTACTTTTCTCATTTTTTTCTCATATCAGATTGGAAAAAGATAGAAACTATAGCTACTTTTGGATTCGATGCTTGAAGCTTATATGTGTGAGTAATATTTTGTTTATATATATTTGGTCATTTTCATAAAAAATTGGTACTCTTGGAAACATTATCTGACTTGCTATAGGATTTCAATTTTCTTGTAGGTTACCATCTTTGTAATTAATATTGCTGGCTGCTTTTATTATCGTCTCGCTACATCTTATCATGACCAGTCAAACACATGGATTGGATCTGTTTGGAAAGACTACCATAAGGAGCGTTTGGGGATCCGTTATGTGACATCACTTTACTGGTCTATAACCACACTTACTACCACTGGCTATGGTGATCTCCATGCTGTAAATGAAAGAGAAATGATATTTGTCATGTTCTACATGATGTTTGATCTTGGACTAACAGCATATTTGATTGGAAATATGACCAACTTGGTTGTCCATGCAACAAGTCGAACAAGGCAATTTGTAAGTAAATTGTCCTGTTACTTGTGTTTTGTACTCTTTTTAAACCCTGTAGTGGTTGTTGTGCATTGCTTAAGTGGTAATGGGAGAATTCCTTCGCTTCTGAATAGGGGTGAGACTGACCTTCTGAGTAATAGTTGCAGGAAACTTTGACTTTCTGCATGTAGTTGAATCAGATAATCAACTTCCGGATTACCTGAAGAATATTTTGAATTGGATAGTAATTATATCCAGTAAAAAATATCATTCTCAGTTTTGATTCATATGTGGAAGCTACTTTTATTTGAAAGAGAAACCCAATAATACCATTATTATGTGGAATGTCCTAATGCGGTAAAAAGCTCTTTTGACATTTGAAGAAGCATTGGAAAAAAATAATAATAAGCTTTGTATTTATGAGAAAATTCTGATTTTCCATCAATATGTTGTTTCTTTATATACTGCGCTCTCAATAGGCATCAAGGTGCTTTTGAACTATTAGAAAGTAATATACATTTTTTCTCAGATTATCATAGCTCCAGAGATAATGATATATATTGGTGCTTGCTTGTGTACTTTTTTCTTAATAATTTGATTCTTCAAATGCTTCATTTTTTTTTTTTTTTTGTAAACTTACTTTCTTATCCTGAGATGTATTTGTTGTATTTCAGAGAGATACTATCCAAGCTGCATCAAGTTTTGCACAGAGGAACCATCTGCCTCTTCGCCTGCAGGAGCAGATGCTTGCTCATTTGAGTTTGAGGTACAGAACTGATTCGGAAGGTCTGCATCAACAAGAGACTATTGATGCACTTCCAAAGGCCATTCGATCGAGCATCGCTAGCTATCTCTTTTATTCATTGGTAGATAAGGTGTACTTGTTTCGAGGGGTATCAAATGACTTACTTTTCCAATTGGTAATTCCAAAACTTGTTTCATCTTATTTAGCGGTTTTTGGAAGAACTGTTAAGGCTTTTCCTGCCATAGATGTGGAAAAAGTCATACTGGTGTATTCTCCTTTTAAAACAACTTTTTTTCAGAATTATCTTTTCCAAGTTCAAATTCACGAAGAAAATTGTTTAAGTCGTTATATCTAACCCTTATGCCAAACCTATCTTGTGTTCTTTAAATGGCTACAAAAAGGGAAAAGCCTTATTTACTGCTTATATTTTTACATTAAAATGAGGGAAACATTGTGTTTCATTTGTCAACCAATTTTATTTGTTTGATTCATAATTTTAATTTACCTCTGTACCTTAAAAATGTTGAAATTTCAAGGTTGCTGAGATGAAGGCCGAGTACTTTCCTCCAAAAGAAGATGTGATTTTACAGAATGAAGCACCCACAGACATGTACATATTGGTCACCGGTGCTGTGGTAAGTACATAACTACCATACTTTTGCTGCCTTTTTTTATTTTACCTTGTCTTGGTTCCGAGTGAAAACGGTATGTTCCTCTATAAGGTCAACATAGAATTCTACAAATGGGTGGTCTTTTCAATGGAAAAGTACTAGACCTGCAAGGTCCTGAATGAATCTAGATATTCATAAAATGCCTTCTCTATAGAAAATATGTCCTATGTCTGATAGTAATTGGTTTCTCTGAGTAAGAACTTCAACTAATCCTTGAAGCTCATTCTTCATCATGCGTGATTTGCTCTTGAAAATTACTGGGCCAAATAGGGAATCCCAATCAGTGGCTCTTACAGGAAGTCATAACGGCATTATATTTTAGAATTCCAAATTATGTATTATATCTTAAATCAAAAACCAAAAAGCTGGAAAGGAAGAGCTGAAGAAGATGGATCCTATCTCCAAACCCTGAAAGTCATTTTATGAAGTTTAGATGACATCATAAATTTTCTTCTTGTGATGTATGCTTGGAAACTGGATATGTATCATTATTGTTTCTTATGCACCTATCTATCTTGCAGGAACTTATTGTGCAAAGGAATGGGATAGAGCAGGTAAATATTTCAATTTCAATGTTTTTGATGTTTTCTTCTCAATTTCTTCAGTCAAAATAAAATGCCGTTTCTAATGTATGATTTCAGGTTGTTGGAGAGGCAAAGACAGGAGATGTTGTTGGTGAGGTTGGTTTGCTCTGTTACAGGCCACAAATGTTCACAGCTCGTACCAAACGATTGAGTCAATTGTTGCGTCTGAACCGCACTGCATTTTTAAATATTGTACAAGCAAATGTTGGAGATGGGACGATTATTATGAATAATCTTCTTCAGGTCAGCAAAAAGTTTAGACAATAAGTACCAGTACCATGATAACAATTGTTAGAATTGTTGCCATTATTTGAAGTAACATTCTCTTGATTTCTTCTTCATATTCCTTTCCTTATTACCGACTATGTGCTTAAATAAATTCTTTCATTTCAAAAGCTTCTAGCTTGAAATGTAGCTCCAGCTAGTTATACTTAGTCGTTGATTATCCAGTTGCAATAAACAAGTCATTTGCATAATGTGGAATCGGAAATTGACGCTTTAGTTTTCTTACTACATGGAATTGCAATGGGGCTGCATTTGGCATGAATCTATTGTAATTGCCTTAAATTCATACACATTTTTTTTTCTTCAGTTTGGCAGGAAATTTTCATGCTGAGTTTAGGGTCTCTTCTGAAGCGTGCGCGTCATTTTGCTTCATTATATTTAAACAATAAGAGGACTATATATATATATATATAAAATATATATATAGAAAATACTTGCTAAGGATCTGACGCAGTAGAAAAATTAATCGTCTTATGTTTATGAAGATTACTGTGATACAGCATGAAGGTGAGTAATTTCATAGTGTTTTTTTTTTGGTGATAGTGTTGAAATAAGCTGAATTGCTTTCCATTCAAGTGCTGAACTTAACACAAAATTGGATTATGGTGTTGTTATGCCTTGTCAAGAGTTAATTAGTTGATAAAGGGAACTATCTAACTGGATCCTTTGGAGATAATATACAATTATTTCTTCACCACATCAATTAATATCTGTTGGTTGTTACAGTATTTGAAAGAGTTGAAGGATCCAATGATGGAAGGAGTTTTGACAGACACAGAGCACATGCTAGCTCGTGGGAGAATGGACCTGCCTCTTTCTTTGTGCTTCGCAGCTATGAGAGGCGATGACCTATTGTTGCATCAATTGCTTAAAAGGGGTTTAGATCCAAATGAATTGGATAACAATGGGCGAACTGCATTGGTGAGAAAAATGTTTCTATATATGTAAATAAACATTAACTCATGAGATTTTTTCTTAAAAGAATCTCTTTGATATTTAGACTTGGAACTTACTTTGATCTTCTATACCACAGCATATAGCAGCTTCAAGTGGGAGCGAGCATTGTGTTGTCCTCCTTCTAGAGTATGGAGCAGATCCAAACAAGAAAGGTATTTTGGAGGAAATTTAAATTTCAAATGTTATCCATAAATCTCATATCTATGCACATTCAGGTTCCCTTGAACAACCTTAAAGCAAAAAAAAAAAAAAAAAAAAAAAAAAAAAAAAAAAAAAAAAAAAAACCCCTTAAAAAAAAAAAAAAAAAAAAAAAAAAAAAAAAAAAAAAAAAAAAAAAATTCAGCAATATATCTCGTGTACAAGAGAAAAAAAATGAGCACCTAATGCTTCTCTTGTATCATTAATGCAGATTCAGAAGGCAATATTCCTCTTTGGGAAGCATTAATGGGGAATCATGAATCTGTTATTAAACTTCTCGTCGACAATGGTGCGACCTTGTCTTGCGGTGATGTGAGTCAATATGCATTAGCTGCCACTGAGCAAAACAACTTGGATTTGCTCAAGGAAATTGTTAACTATGGCGGTGATGTGACACTGCGCACAAGCACTGGAACAACAGCACTTCATGTGGCAATATCTGGAGGAAACACTGAAATTGTCAAGTTCCTTTTAGAGCAGGGAGCTGATGTTGATATGCCAGATGCCCACGGATGGACAGCAAGGAGATTAGCAGAGCATCAGGGCATTGAAGAAATTCAAGCTTTGGTCCAAACAACGCAACATACGGAAAAAAAAACAGTTCCCACAATTCCAACGCCATTATGGGTGCGACATCTTGGGAAGCCTCTTGCTAAATATATTAGTGGACCTGCAATGTATCCATATCCAATGCGAGATGTTGCGCCACCTGCGGTAGGAAGAACATTGACAGAAAATCCTCAGAGGAGAAGAGTTTGCAATTACCAAAACTCCCTTTTTGGGATCATTTCAGCTGCTAATAATGGTGAGGATGCACATAATTTTGTTATACTTCTTCATGATATTCCTCAAATCTTACTGAACACCATATCATAGTTATGACACTGGTTTAAACATTTCTGAGTGGTCGAGTAATACAAAAATAGGAAAACTAAAGTCAGTTGATAAGATAGTGGAATGATTTTTTTTTTTTTAATCTTTGAAAACCATGTATTATTTTTGAAATTGCATAAACGGTTAATAAAATTGCCGAACCTTTTACTAAAGTCAGTTTTACATTGCTGAACTTTTTAATTTTTGCTTCAAAGAAAGTTAAAATTTCAATCTGTGCAGGTGAGAGTGAGATAATTGCATCTCCAAGGGGAGCTGCTGGTCTTCCAAGTTTGAGCTATCCAGCTAGAGTGACTATTAGTTGCCCAGAAAAAGGTGAAGTTGAAGGAAAGCTTGTTCTATTGCCAAAATCAATTCAAGAACTACTAGATATTGGTGTGAAAAATTTCGAATTCTCAGCAACCAGAATTCTTACCAAAGAAGGGGCTGAAATTGAGGATATAGAGCTTATTAGAGACGGTGACCATCTTGTTCTTGCTAGCGATGCTGGCACCAGCTAGTTGGTTAAAGAGCTTGGAGATCGGATCATACTTCAAAAATAAAAACTACATTGGCTAGCTCTTCAATTTTTTGTCACAAGATCCACTTGGTAAATAGTTATGTTCTTTTCGCTCTTTTAATTTTCAGAAATTTGAGGGAAGGGTGTGGAGAATACAGGACTGCGCAGGAAAATAGTATCCAGAGTTACAGGAAAATACATGTTAATACAAAGTGTAAATCAGATTGGGGAAAATATACGGATCCAAACTACAGGTATGGACCGTCAATTCAATTGAATTTCGCTCAGTGACGAAATGATTATGTTTTCCTTTTTTTTTTCTCATTTCCGTGACAAATTTAATATCATGCAAGTACAAACTACAGAGTACATGTTTGCCCATGTTCAGTCACCGTCTATAAAATATAGGTTTTCTCTTAATAACAGGTCAGTCATGGAATCTGGAAGTCAAAGATTCGGTAATCGTTTTTCACAGTGAAAATTGAAAAATTATTGATACAAGAGGAAAGTGATGATATACGAAGGTTTTATTATTTTTTGGAAAAATTATTATCTAGTCCATGTGGTTGACCAAATTAATAATTTCATCCTGTATTTTAGTAAAATTATTATAACGTCCCTAATATTTGATTCTATCTGACTATTTTATCCTTTCATACAAAAAGTGATAATTTAGCCATTAATTTTACATGGAAAAGACTAAAACACCACATTGGTAGACCTACAAATATTATAAACTAATACTAAAAATAAAAAGCTGTACATAAATTAAAAAAAAATGTCAACCTTTCATTTTCATCTCACTCCACCTCTCTCAACCATCTCTCTCCATAAAAATCTATTGCATAGATATATTCTTCAAAAAGCATATACAGCGAACAGGACAATTTGGGCCATTGATTTGACTTGGAAATTTGGACAACTCCATATAACCTCTCGCTTCGTATTTAAATCGGAAAAAAAAAAAAAGGAAAATTACTATTTCGTCCTGAGATAATGACCAAATTATTTAAATAGCCCTCCATATTTAGTAAAAAGGATATGGCAATCAATGCATCTAAATTTTTAGTTCCAGGACTCCGAATGCCAAGATTTCTCACAGATGCTACAGCACAGAATCTGAGATTGTCCATCAGAATCAAAACAAGTCCTGTCATATATAGCTCCTTTTGTTCAGTGATGCCAGAGAATACATTGTCTAGTTTTTGGCGCGCCAAGAGTCGACCATCTTCGAGTAGAGAAATCCATAATACACCCTTGCACCTTTACCAGGAAAAAGACCATCATCATACTTATGTTCCTCAAGAGAAATGATGACATCTCCCATCACCAACCTTCCCTTAAATGGAATCAAGCGTTCATGCAAAAAGGGGACACATTTGTACATGTTTGTATCCACATCCCAGCATCCTTTGCAGTGTCAAAGTAGTAGACCTCACGTTCACAGCACAGGTAGTATGGATATACAGCTTATGGCCGAAGACAAAATGCCGTAGCACCATATTACTACCAACATCTTCATATTCACGAGGATGAATAAAGCAAGGGGGATCAGTTAGTACCTTCCAACTGGAATCGACAGATGAGAGATCCAAAACCTCGAAAGTCGAAACATTTAAAGGCATAGGAATTTCCCAGGTGCGGAGAACATAAATCTTGCCTTCAATTTCTTCCAATGTAGCATCCGGTTTGGCATCGTTCAATGAGCTTTCAGATTTCGTCAAGGAATGATCTCATAATTATCAAATGTCGAATAAAAGCAAATGAATTGATGGGATTTTCTAAAACGCCTAAAAGAAAATTGCCCAATTATAAAATAATAACTCCAATTGCCAATATTTTATAATATTTAGGACATTCTGTAAAAAATATAAATTATAAAAAATGACTTTTTTTTTTTTTTAAGTTAACAGTTAATAGTTCTATTATCAATATTTTGTAATATTTTAAAACATTTTGTAAAAAATACCTGTTTTCTGTAAAATGAATTTTTACAAAACAAGTAATTTTTTTATAAGAATACATGAAAAATCAAAAAAAAAAAAAAAAAGAAGACAAATTTTTTTTTTTCAGGATATTATTCATGATATAGAATGTGTAGAACATGCTCAAAAGGAAGATTAACTGATTGATTAATATCAACATATTCGTGAGTTAATACTAATATCAGTTTTTCTGTTCAAAATTGATTTTGGCAGAAAAACATACAGCTTCAAGTTCAACTACTCATCAACCAACGTGAAGTTTTTAAGATTAAAAAAAATTACAAAAAGATTAAAGGCAATCAACTCATTTCAGTTTAGACTTTGAAGAGCTGTGCAGAGGCTTTGCAATGGGTCTAGAAGGGGCACTTCTCACAGCCTTCTTCACATCATACTTCACAGAAGAGAAGGCACAGATCAAGGCAAGCAACATTGTTGGATAGACATAAACAGCTTTAGCAGGATCTGTATTTGCCGGCTTTCCTAGGATCCCTTCCTTCACAAGGCCCCATATTACCAAAAGTGTTCCAAACATGCTCATCCTCCCAGGTTTTAACAAGCCAACAACTGCTCCTGCCACAGAAAAATAGCTTCCTGCAAGAACCTGGAACAAGGACCATAAAAATAGCAGGCAGATCAAAAAAAGATATAATGTGAAATTTACAAAACTCAAGTCACATCAAAGGTCCATCATGGTCATGCTAAAGCAATTAATGAACCAAATATGGATCAGATTAGAACAGAATTTTCATAATTGCACGTGTAGGTTTCCTATTAATTACAGATCAGCCATTGCATCAGGAAGCCAAAGATTCGGTAATAGTTTTTACACACAATGAAAATTTATTGATATACAAACTGATTTCCTTTATCCTTTTTCATATGCTGGAGAGGAATTACATCTTAGAGATATGAGTTGAAATTTTAGAGGAAAACTGTGCAAACTAAAAGAGTTTCGGGAAAGACATGCTTACATTCAGTCAAGCCATCCACAAACTTAATTACATCAAGAAAATGTCAAAAAATTGTTGGAAAGAACAAATTTGAAATTTCATCCTGATTAATGGGTTTGTATGACTTTCAAAAATAAATATAGTTGGTGACTATCAAGAATAGGTGTGTCCTTCCCCTAAGAAAGAAAAACGGAAAAAAATAAATGAAGTGGGAGATAGAAAGTTGAAAAGGAAACCTCTAAGCGCTGGAGATCAGTTACTGCAGGGGCTTCTTTGACACTGGTCAAGTTATAGATATTTAGAAGGTTTCCCCAGCTTGGAATAGTCATGTTCCGGACAATACCATTCACTATAGCTCCAGGATAGAGAAGACCTTTCACTACAGGAACAGGAAATATCTCACTTGCAATCAATTGTGAAGATGTGACATGAATTGGTGATGAACACATGCCAGATCTGCAAGGAACCCTGTAAAAAGGAGAAGTAGGAATAGTCATGCTAAAAAATTATGCTTCGAGTTCTAAATTTCCTTCACCCATGGCAGATTTACAGTCAACCAGCCATAGACAAACAAAGACCGTCTGTCAAGTTCATACCATTATAGCAATCCTGAAATGCAAAAAGAATGGGCAGGGAAGCCATATACGGATCTAAACTTCAAGGAAAAGCCAATGTGTCAAATTTAAAACCATAAGTTACAGGAAAGATTAATAATACTCAGGCTTATAATTACAAGTATCAAATTGGCAGTTCCATTAATTCACAGCTCATACTTTGCTTAAAAATTCAATTCAAATTCAGTCCATTTATATTCAAGTTTGCTATGAAACCATTTTATCATTCATGAATTATCCATGCTTCATCAACCATTTTGTTCAATGTCCCTCATCAATGACCCTTGAACTAATTTGGTCTTCCTCATCTCTCCATACAGCAAAACAGCCAAACTCAAAAATGAAGAACGAGAGAACAAAGAAAGATTCTTTATTGAATTGCTGATCTAGTGAGAATATCAACAAATTTCGCTTCATCTCCAATACAGTTGTATAATTAAACATAAAGAAATACAGATGTTAGAGCTTAGAGCACTGAAATAACCGTATTCATAAATTGCCATGTATTTTAGCATCCAGTCAAAGTTTAAAACCCAATGTTGGAATTGAAAGAAAAATTCATAAAATTTGCTAGACAGGAGAAGGTCACACAGTGGAATGAATTCGCTCAAGTCAATCATGAGACTAAAAATGAAATTTCATAACAAATAAAAAATATTTAAATTGAAAAAGGAGAGGATTGGATGAATATGGATCTTAGTTCTTAAATACCTGAAAAGAGGGACCTGGAGAATGATAAGGAAGAAATAGATTCGAGATGCTATTGATGGCAGATTGCTCACCCAGCTCCTTGACGGTGCTGTTCTTGTTGGTGCTGCTGTTGATATTGCCATTATCCCGTACAGTATCAGCAGCGCAAAGACCAAGGACAGAACGGGAGAGAGTGAGAGAGACAGAGAGAGAGAGAGAGAGAGTTTCGATCTGGCGCTTATGTATGACCGGCACTTGATTTAGTTGTAATATTAATCATGTTGCTGTTAAGTAAATGCAGTACTAAGTTGGAGAAAGTTAGTAACAGTAATTAGTCTCGTTAAGAATTGAGATGGGACGGTGCGTTTTGATAGTATCCATAGGAGGCAACGGTTAAGAGATTAAAACGGTGCGTTTCAGGCAAGGAGGCGTCGTCTTGATAACTACAGTGCCAAGTTCCTGTACCAGCCCCCTCTGTCTGTAGATATTTGGATTAGATAGAGGTTTTTCCTGTTTGGGGATGTAAGCTTAGAAAATGGCCTTTTCTTTATCTTCTTTGAAGGCTTCTACTGCTCTACACAGTTGGGCAGCTTCAGGTTCTGAGCAAGTCTTCGCAGGATATCCCAGGCCATCCTCTCTTGTTCTGCCGCGTCACTCTTTTGTTAACTCTGTCATCGCCTTCTCTCGCCGTCGAAACAATAACTCTCCAATCTCAAAGAAAAAGAAGGTAAGAATTGCAATTAAATTAACCTAGTTTAGAGTTTTATAAATGTTCACTTGCAATTGCTCAGAAATTCTTTATTTTTTTATTACATGTACTAGAAATTCGTTCTGTACTTTGCATGCCCTCACCAGCCAAGAATTAAATTGATTTGACCAAATTTAAAGTTGCATTTTCTCGTTTATTACAGAAAAGTTCTTCTGTTGAGGTTACAAGGGAGGAGGAAGATGATATGGATGATGATGCCTTTGAGGCACTATTCAACATGTTGGAAGAAGACCTAAAAAATGAAGGATCATACATAGATGGTGATGATGATGATATAAGTGAGGAAGATTTTGATAAACTTCAACGTGCTTTAGAGGAGGCACTAGGAGTTGGTGATGATGATGATAGTGGAGAAATACTTAATTCAGGAGAAGATGAAGATGAAGATGAAGATGAAGATGAGGATGAAAATGAAGATGATGATAACGACGATGGAGATGTCGACGATATCAAAGATATCAAAGAAGATGATGAGGAAGAGGAAGGCGAGGACAAGGAGGAAAAACCAGTAAAGCTTAAGAATTGGCAGCTTCGAAGGCTGGCTCGTGCTTTAAAAACTGGACGCCGCAAAACTAGTGTGAGCATCCTATTCCACATTTGTGAAGTTAGTTAATCTACTTATAATAGATGCAGTGGCCAGGAGTGAATATTTTACTAAATTCAGGCTTCTTTAATAATATTTATCTTCTTTTTACAGATAAAAGGCCTTGCTGCTGAGGTTTGTCTTGATAGAGCCATTGTTCTTGAGTTGCTTCGTGACCCTCCCCCAAATCTTGTTTTGATGAGTGCTGCTTTGCCTGATGAACCTGCACCAACACCAATAGTGCCAACATTGCCACAAGCTAAACCAATTGAAGTCATTCCTACAGATACAAAAATTGTGGATGATGTGAAATCTGAGAGTGGCAAAAAAGTACCAGTTCATGTTATGCAACACAGATGGTATGCTCAAAAGAGATTGAAGAAAGTCCATGTTGAAACACTTGAAAGAGTGTATAGAAGAACAAAGAGACCTACTGTAAGTAAAGAGTTGCTTACACTGATAAAACAATTTCTGTGATAGGAAAAGCATAGTCCAAATGTTCAATAATTTAAGAAGTTGCAAATGCGGATTATTTTCCTTTTTATAGTGTAAAAAATTCATGGATACTTTGAGTTTCCTACATATAAACGGGTATGAATTTTTGCCTTTTATGGAACATCTGCTTTATATTAATATTAGATATTAATAATGCAGAATGCAATGATTAGCAGCATTGTGCATGTGACAAATCTGCCTCGCAAAAGAGTGGTGAAATGGTTTGAAGATAAACGTAATGAAGATGGGGTTCCTGACCAGCGTCTTCCATATCAAAGGTCTGTTCCTGAAGCTGTCTCTTCCTCTTGAAATAATCTGTATATTTGTATGGGAAAAAGAGAGCACTTATTGAAACACATCATGCACTTTTCTGAACTTTGATGCTTTTCGAAGACTAAGGTAAGGCCCAAAACATAAGTCTACCAGGTTGAATTTGCTGCAGAGATGATTTCCTACTCATGATGCCCCTGTTGGCTGCTGCATATTTTAAGTCAAATTTGATCAGCGCTAACTTGCTAGATGTTTGTGACCTTTCACAAAGTTTTGATGATATATTTAAACCAATATCATAAGCTTGTGAAGTGTTATTTGCCATTGCATTTTATTATAACCGTGGATTATGTCTTGATTTTGAAGGTGTTATCTGTTAAAACTCCGATTTTGCATTCCAAGTATTAAACGGTTTAATGAATGCCAAATTTTGGCTGTAGTAGTAGACATATGAGCACACATCTTGGTACTAAATAAATGAGTTTGACCATAATTAATTCCATGTGTAGAAGAGAATGTGCTAGGGAATCTCAATTAGAAAAATTCAGCTAATGGCTACAAAAATTCGCAAAACACTAATCTAGGATTGTTGTTTACATTTGTTGTAAAAATATAACACGAAAGTGCTGTGTTGTTACTAGTCAAGACCATCCGGTAATATTCTTTCCCATGACTTATTTGATTTCCTTAGTCCTTCCCTTAAAACATTTTTCTGTCTTCCCCTACTATATATAATGCTTAGAAGAACATGCATTTTGTATCATAAATAGTTTCACAAGTCAAAAAACGATAAGTATATTAGTAAATTCAAAGGGCATGGCAACTTTGCAAAGGTCGGTGGTCTTTAGGAGGCAAGGTTCATCAGGACCGGTATGGGATGAGAAATTCTTATTGGGAGAAGACGGTGTAGAATACAGACAACTAAGGCCGTGCCAGAGTGGCTCAAACATTACAGATATGGATTGTAGCGAGCCAAGTGCTGCACCGCCAGTCACTTGCCCTCGCAGCTTGTCAACCCCAGCCATGAAACAGACTTATTCTGAAGCCTCCGAGAAGGGTTTAGCCGTACCAAAATCTAGATCAGGAAAAAGAAACTTGTTTTTAAGCTTACTTAACAATAACAAGTAACCTTTCTTTCTTCTTTCTTCTTCTTCTTTTTTTTTTTTTTTTTTTTTTTTTTTTTTTTTTTTATTAGTCCATCATTAGCATTCTGAGAAGTTTTTTTTTTTTTTTTTTTTTTTGAGTCATCATTAGCTTCTGAGATGGAAATATGAAATGTCTTTCTTTGCATATTTTATTCATTTATCGCTTTATTTTTCTCTAGAAAAAAAGTTTTTTTTTTCATTTATATGCTTAATAATTACGGAGGCAGGGTCTGTCTACATTTGAATCCAGCAACTATTAGAAGAAAATCCCTATCTACTTTCAAGTTGAACCCCACTTGGGTGGGACATTCAAGGAATCACATGAAAGTGTATTTGAAATAAACCAAATTGACGCATCAAGTAACGACTACAAACGGAATTATATGCGGCAGCTATCATGTCAGGACTGCTATAACGCTTTGTTCTATTTTAACCAACATATATAGAAGAAGATATACTTACTTCCCTTGGCCATATCTAATTATTTGCCTTATCTTTCCGTACATCCAAGTAAAAATATAAGATTGAGAGACTTGAAAGGAATCTTTTTAGAAATTCATTTTCATGTCTAATTAATTAGCTCCCAGTAGCTTTGGCATCTTCCAAGAAACTAACTCTCTCTCTCTCTCTCTCTCTTTTTCTCTTCCATGGGCTTTGTCAAGAAGAAATAATCAGAAATGGGAGTTCCTTCCAGCCTAAGACAGCATTAACTTTTCTGTTTCTTTGATATTTTTCGTTATTAATTAGCCTGCCAATTAATCTAGATAGCTACTACATCTCTGTATGGAGGAACCTTCATCATGAGGCGAAGGTGTTCTTGTGGTTTTTATATATGTGTCGTCCGTTCCAAGCTTTCTCCCCTTTCATTTGATTTTGATGTTCTTTATCGAAATTATTTATTGTGGATCTCATTCTCTTGACTCTTGAATCCTTACAATTCCACATTAAACGTTGTCCTTGTGTTGCTTTGTTATAAGATACTAGGGAAGAAGCGTGTGATGTATTTATCTTTCCAATAATTAACATAACCATAATTTTTTTTTTTTTTTTTTTTTTTTTTTTTTTTTTTTGAGGTAAGGATTCAGTGATGAACTAGTTGTACTAAATTTATTTTCATTGTCCGAACAAAATATATATATATATATATATATTACTAATTCCTTTCAAGTTGTAGAGGATAGTGAATGCACTTTTGGAAAATCAAATTTATTTTCACACCTTTATAAAATTAATGATTGGTTTCAAACTCACATTCTATGACAAACTTATGTAGGTTACATGTGCGGTTTGGATTGATATGAAATTTTCTAATTTTAAATTACATTAAAATTACAAAAAAGATTGGTTTAAATTGTAAGAAAGATTGATTAGAAATTGGATTGAATCTTAAATTTGAAAAAAGAAAAAAAAAAAAAAAAAATGGACTTGAATCTTAAATTTGAAAAAAAAAAAAAAAAAAAAAAAAAAGCGGAAAATTTCAAAATTAAGGAGCCTTTACTGGCTTGAAACGAACTGCATTAATTAGTGTAGAGGTAGTTTGGATTAATAAAAAGTAAAATTCATAAATTTACAAAAAATGACATTCATAAATTTAAAAATTATTTTTAACATAAAATTAAATAGCTTAAATTGTATTATTAAAAAATTATGAAATTAGAAAAATCTCACCTATAAAACGGTAGAATGAAGTAGGTAATCTCCTCTCTCTCTTTTTTTTTTTTTTTTTTTTTTTTTTTTTTTTTTTTTTTTTTTTTTTTTTTTTTTTTTTTTTTTTTTTTTTAACGAAAGGAAAGAATTTGAAACTACTAAAAAATAAGGATAAGACTACGGTGAAGAATTCAAGGTTACTGTATTGATAAAAAACTATTTTTTAACCTTTAGATTCAAAATGTTTAAATATAAGCCATTAGATTTAAATTTAACTAATGAATTTGTTATTTATAAAGCAGGTCGTATTATCTTATAATTGTCTTAGTTAATTTAAATTTGGTAAAATATTAAATTTTTTTATATTATCTAATTATTGTTATTAAATATAACAATAATAATTATATTTATTGGGTAAATTTAAAAACACTCTTCCAACATAATCATAAAAAAATAAAAGCAAAACATGATAAAAAAATAAAAGCTTTTTAATGTATAATTTGCATTAATCTGATTTTTGTGCTTAATTCTTTATTTATTGCTATTTAACCAGAAGTTTGATATTATATATAGTTTACTTGATTTTTATTTGTTATATAATGTCTAATTATGTAACTCAAGACATATTAATATTTTGTAAATTCTAATTTGAAGTTTAATTGAACTTATTCTAAATTCATGTATTTTTTTAAATAACTCATATTATATATTTAGATATAAATATTCATTTGATTTTCTTATTTAATTATTGTAATACCCCGAATTTTTATTTTTAAAACTTTAGAATTTTTATTAAATCAAAAATCTAGATTTATGTTGATATGGGCTATTAAGATCGAGTAATTCTAATTGAGCCCAAAAGATCGATATTCTCAATTTGAGACCCACAAAGTTTTACGAATTGGCTCAGCCCAAAAAACATATTATTTACGAATCTTTACGTTCTGGGTATACCTTAAATTTCGATGAAAAATAAAAATGGAACACGAACTTCGTTTATCGATTAATAATCGTGTCTATTATATATGTACACTACTATATAAATAAATCAGCCTAAAAATTAAATCATTTGATTATTACTAATCTTTATGAATACAATTGAGATATTTACAGGATTGAACAAAATAATCAAAATCAAATTGAACTGGACCAAAAATTTCAAATTAATTCTCTCAGAAAACCTAGATGAAAAATCCATAAATGCAATTTGAAAAACCAACGCTAAAACCATGATTGTAAACCAACCAGACTTCGAATCGACCCAAACCCCATCACCAATTAGAAATTCTAGACAAAAACAAAAAAAAAAGAAAAAAAAAAAAAAAAAACAAAAAAGAGCACAAGCAAAGGATGAACGAGAAGAGGACTGCAGTGGTCATCTCCTCTCGCTCTTGCTCTCTCAACCAAACCCCCTCCTTTTTTCATCGTCTGACCACACGCGTCACAACCCTTTTCTTCTCGTTCTCCGACCACCGGCCACCAAATCCGGCAAATAGATACTCTAAAAATATCTACTCGTCGCAAGGAGTTTGATTTATACTTTGGTTTGCGCGATTTGAGCCCGGATTGAGAGAAATCTCGACCGAAACGTTTAGCATCGTTGTAACAACTTCTCTGGCGATTTCCCATCGTTTCCGATGACTTGATGCGTCGAGGTAGGTGTTGATCGACTCCTCTCTTCTTCCTCTTTCATTTGGTAGGCTCCTCGTCGACTGTAATAGCCGGAATAGGAAAACACAAAATGGGTATCACCGAACCTTTCCGGTCAATTTCCAATAAGTTCGACACCCACCTCTGATTTGAATCCATATTTAAGTGATCCTCTCATCGAACACGAATCAATAATTTGATGTATCTTTGTCAATTTGGTTGGAAGGTTAAATTTTCCGGCCACCATGCACGGCGGGCGAGGCGGTGGTCCGAGCAGAGGACTCCGACGAAGGACCCGACGAGGCAGAATGATCTCCTCTTCGCGCGGATCCACGGACATAATCTGATTATTCATCGGGTACACTCTAAGCTTAATTCGCAAATTTATATTGCAAAAATCCCGAATTAACTTAATATAATTAATTAATGAACTTAATTAAGTATTTAAGTAAATTAAATTAAATATTGTTAAATATATTTTAATGAATATTAATTATAACTATAAGGACGGTACTAAAATACAAATTCCTACCTAATAATAAATTTTAGGAATTTTATTAACAAATAAATAGTTATAGATCAATTAATTATAATGGACTATGTGAATTAAGTGACTGAATAAATGACGGTTATGGCGGACGAGATTAGTGGATATGAATTTGCCCGATGGATGGGCTGTGCGTGTGGATTTGTGAAAATTTGATAAATTGGGGTAGTACAGTTTAAAACGCTGCCGAATTTGCGGAAACTCTTAAGTACAAGAAAATCCCGTAACTAGATAATACGACTCAACAATGCTTATCGTTTGTGATATTTATCATTATCAATCGTAATTAATAACTATTATCAAATTAATATGATAATTTCGTATTTACTTCTTAGCAGTCTATTATTAAATATTACTTATACGGGATCAACTAAACCGTTTATATTTTAAAGGCGAAATTAGGAATAAAATAATTAAATAGGAAACCC